TCCCATCTCACACCAAGGCCCTTAATCCTTTGTCCTCTATTTTATTTTTTCAAAAATACTTTATTTGACAAACAACATTAACTTACACGACAATCCACCATACACCACAATATACAACACTGCACAACAATACAGTATATACATCACCAGTCAGAAATTTTATCTATATCTGTTTTACAGAACAGAGTGCAGATTACCAGAGAAATAATCTGTAGAACAAAAGATAGGAAATTCACAAAAGTAAGTGCAACATAAAATCTTCAACCCACTCTTGAAAATTTCACCGACATTTTTCTCTCTTCGACAATTTCTGAGTGTGATTTATTTTCTTGTGGAGAATGGGTAGGAGGAAAACACAGAAGACATTTTTCACACAGCACTAGTTTTTTAATGAATTGTACTGGGGGTACATATTCCTTAAAGGGTAAAACAGATTTGTTGGAACTAGGAGCAGCAGTACTGCCTCAAGAGTTCAATTAGGACAAAAATATTTATTTTCCTCTTAAACAGTAGATTCAGAACACAGATCAGGAACAATGGGAATGGTGACAGCCAGATCTGAGAAGATAATCAAGTCCTTTTGCAATAACCACAGAGATTTAACTGCTATATAAGTACAAGTCCCAAGCTTTAGATTTTCTGACTAAGGAATGCAGGTAATTTCTATTGCTGTTATTTCAGGTGAGCATCATAATTCACCATACTGTGACAGTGCTGAAATATCTAAATAGATCATATTCAACATGCCTCTTTAATGAACTGAAAACTCTGGCCTGACCTTCTTCCTCCCCCACCCTACATTAATTTATAGAACTGGAATGAGAAACTGGGCCTCCATAGAGAAAACTATATGATCTATCCTAGAACCATATGTTCTATTCATCAGAATTGCAATATAAACATCATTGCATGTCTTTTATTTTATTTGCCTCTAGAAAAAAAACACCATGGTAGAATCAGACTGGGAGAATCGAACTATGACAACTGAATTCATCCTCCTTGGATTTGGGGATCTCCAGCACCTGCAAATTCTTCTTTTCCTTCTCTTTCTAATCATCTACGCTTTGACTATGACTGGGAATATCCTTATCATTGTCCTAATTGTGACCGATCAGCGCCTTCATACTCCCATGTACTTCTTTCTGGGGAATTTGTCTTCTTTGGAGGCCTGCTATACCTCAACAATCCTGCCCAGAATGTTGAATAGTTTATTGACTGGGAAAAGGATAGTCCCTGTCCATGGCTGCCTTATGCAGTTGTGGCTTGCAGCATCCTTAGCAGCATCCGAATGCTACCTTCTTTCGGCGATGTCTTACGATCGCTATGCTGCAATATGTAAACCCCTGCATTACACAAGAATAATGAACAACAAGGTTTGCCTTCAACTGGTAGCTGCATCTTGGCTGTGTGGTTTCATAGAAAACACTATATTGATCGTTTTTGTATCTGAGCTAACATTCTGTGGCCACAGTGAAATAGAACATTTCTTTTGTGATTTCCTCCCTATCATTCAACTGTCCTGCACTGACACCTACAAGGTTCAACTTGCATTGACCATCATGGCATCCTTCTGCACACTTCCATCATTTATCTTAACCATTACATCATATGTTTACATCATTAATGCCGTTTTGAGAATTCCCTCAGCAACTGGTAGGCAGAAGGCTTTTTCCACCTGCTCTTCTCATTTGGTTGTCGTGTCCATTTTCTATGGAACAATCATTATTGTCTACGTGCTACCAAAAACAAAAATACTAAAGGAGCTGAATAAGTTTTTTTCTGTATTTTACACTGTCCTGACACCTCTGGTCAATCCCCTTATATACAGTCTGAGGAACAAAGAAGTGAAGGAAGCTTGGAAGAGGATTGTCAGCAAATGTAAAAGTAATGCAGTGATGTGAGGGTGCTGAACTCTTATGGGTGAAGCCCCTTTGTGGGATTTGCACATCATTTGACTTTCAAGGACTAGTAAGCATTGCAAACAAGTACTGAGTATATCTTTATTTCAGGAGTACATGGAATGAAGCAGGGCCTTTTTGTTATTTCCATGCAACAATGGCAATGCCAACTCTCCTTTATTGACATACAGTGGTACCTTGGGTTACAGACGCTTCAGGTTTCAGGTTACAGACTCCGCTAACCCAGAAATATTACCTCGGGTTAAGAACTTTGCTTCAGGATGAAAACAGAAATTGTGCGGCGGTGGCGCGGCAGCAGCAGGAGGCCCCATTAGCTAAAGTGGTACCTCAGGTTAAGAACAGTTTCAGGTTAAGAACGGACCTCCAGATTTAATTAAGTTCTTAACCCAAGGTACTTCTGTATTTCCTGGATTCTACATTCTAACTGCACCCAAGCTCATTTATTGTGGCAATTTACACTATTGAATTTGCTGGATCATGGCTGCTTTAAGAGATATTATAGTACCCTCAATGTATCCTGTGGATTTGGTCTGAGGACACTGACAGACAAAATATATTTGTTGTGTTTATTATTCTGTGATATCTTCTGCCTGCAGATGAACCAAATTTATTAATTCACATTTTCATGACTGAGCCATGTTGAGGAATGAAATGAACCACCCAGTTTTGTCTAAAGTTTAGAATAGCTGTGTTTTCTTCATTAGAGAAAAAAATAACTTTGGATAATGAAAAGTTAGTTTTATTTAAATGGGTAATGTGTTATGGTTTGCTGTATAAAGAAGAGGTATGGTTTTGGAAATGGTATGGTGTCCTCCCCACCCTCAAGTCAGATTACCAGTTCAGTGGTGAGCACTGGAAGAGGAACGGGGCGGGGAGCGGGGGGAGCACACCGCCCCTTGCACCAATGGTGGAGGGGGGTACCATCACGCCACACGCCCGCCTGCTCTCCGCCCCTGGTGCCAGAGTATGCAGCTTCACCACTGGTTGTGAGGTTTTACTCCTACTTTGTGTAGGCTTATAAATGTCACCATTAGAATCACTCTAAGCAAGAAAGCATGCATGCAAACAAGGAAAATATGGATGTGTGTAGCCATGCAAATGACAATCACAAACCACTGGGCAGTTCTAAACTCACCTTTTAAAGGCTCTGCAAGGAACAAGGTGGCAGCTCCTCTCCTCTCCAGCATATACTCATGCTATTTGAAAGGTTATGGGTAGAAATCTGAAGAGCCACCACATCTTTTCTTTGAAGTAATAGGAGGGATGGGGAACCTCTGGCTCTCCAGATGTTGGTGATGTACAACTGGCATAACTCCTAAGCACTTGCCATGGTAGCTGGAGCTGATGGGAGCTGGAGTCAAACAACATCTGTAGACCCACAGGCTATCTATTCCTGCACTATGTTCAAAGACATGTTAAGCTTCCTTTCTCCCACTGAGCTTTCTGCAAGGGCAATATCAAGCAGAATAGCCTCTTTTCTCTCTCGGATGTAATTCTCCCTATCATGGTATGTATTGCTGTGAAAAGTTCTCTGAACTCTGTGCTTGTGGAAGCCAATGTGATAGAGCTGTCTAGTCCCCTTAATGTTCCCAGCAGGACCTTTCTGTGTACCTGCTTAGCCAGTGTCTCCAGGCTCTATGTATGTGTGTGCATGCACACCTCTCTGTCTCTCTCTGTCTCTCTGTGTGTGGTTACCTCTGCAAAGGCTGTAAAACTGTACAGCCCTGCAGAGCAATACACATGCATGAGCCCTAACTGTTTCCCTGTGAAAAATTTCACCGTATGTCACTGCTGCTAGAGAAAAATTCTACTTATAAAATAGGCACATAAAACAGTTTCTTCAAGTATATCAGATAAAATTGCAGAACTGCCTGCAGGTACAGCAAACATGTTGCCAGAGGAGATAACATCTTCTGTTGTAACATAGCTAATAAAGTCCAGGAACAATCAGGCTGCCTTTCTGTCTGGCATAAAACCATTCCCAGCATTCTTGGAAGCATAAACAACTTTTCAAAAGGAGAGAGGATACCCAATAAAAGTGAAGTTGTAGGGGAAGCACAAAAAAACAATCTCTTTCCTGTCAAGGAAAAAAAAAAGAGAGAGGCTAGTTTCATCCTGTCCTGGATCCAAGAAGCATGAAAGTGAAAGTGATTGTGAAGTCATTCTTGATTTGATTCTCCTGCTCTAACATAAGTGAATGTAGCTTTGCCTATTTTTGACATTTCTGTACATAGGATGAGTGCACAGAGTGGCCCATTTCCAGGTCAGAATTCACTCTGGAGGATTTTCTGATTTCTGTGAATTTCACCAGACACCACCCACTTTAAAAATTTTGTGCTGACATACTGAGTAACAATGGCAATGTTGGAAAACTTGCCCCCTTGGGAGAGGCTGGCCCCTCTCCAGGCTCCCGGGGCTTGTTTGCCGGTGATCTACTCTGGCTGGCATCCCTGCAGTCCAGGAAGATCTTTATAGGTGACATCTCCCAGCGTGGAAGATGCACACCCCCTTCGCCCCTTGCATACCAGCAAGAGAAAGAAGATAGTCAGAAAGTCTTCTACATTTCTACGGTTTATTTCTGACTTTACAACTGTACAAAACCATGTCCGTTCAGTTCAGTCTCTCCAAGCAACTGACTGAGACTTCCTTCACAAAAGCAACAGGAAGGTCTCATATTACACAAAGAACAAGACTCTGTGAATCCTGTGAGCTGCCTGGAACATTCTTTCCCACGGCTAGCCACATCATGTGATGTAAACATTGAGCTGCTAGTTTGCAGCTGCGTTGTACTCATATCCCAACACTTCTTAACTCTATGAAACCATCCCTAGCTATTTTATATCAAGCCACTGAAACCCGCAGCCATTGATAGTAGTATATTTTGTATTCAGATGTACGTAACACATAATAGCAAGTCACCCACAAAGGCAAAACAAGGAGAAGAGCCCTAGCAACTGCTGATCAAGTACCAGAAAATACAGGAGATGCTGTCACTGATGCTCAATAAGCAGCCAGCTAAGAATGCACCTGACAAACCTTCACTGCCAGGGCTGCTACCGGGGTAGCACAAACACCTGAGATGAGGAAATACATGATTTATTAAATTAATAATGTAAGCATATCACATTTAGAAAGAAACAAAGTAACCAAATGGTAATAAGGTATCACACTGCATACAAGTATAAGACCTGTCATTCAAGAAATGAAATATATGTTTCATTTACATAACATAAAAACAATAATACAGTGGTACCTCGGGTTACAGACACTTCAAGTTACAGATGCTTCAGGTTACAGACTCCGCTAACCCAGAAATAGTACCTCGGGTTAAGAACTTTGCTTCAGGATGAGAACAGAAATCGCGCAGCAGCAGCAGCGCAGCAGCAGCGGGAGGCCCCATTAGCTAAAGTGGTACCTCAGGTTAAGAACAGTTTCAGGTTAATAACGGACCTCCAGAACGAATTAAGTTCTCTACCCGAGATAACACTGTATTTAGATGGATAGAAAGAGTCATAATTAAAAGCACATTAAGTGCACAGTTTCTGTCATCTAGTATCAAAGACATGCCCTCTCAACTAAATCTATTGTGTAATATCCAATGAATTCAGTTTTTTTATAAAAAAAATAGAGCATTGCCCCCCCAACACACCGGAACACATTCACCTGGTTGGCTAGAAAGCATGAGAAAGGATTTGAAAGACAATGACAAATGTTGAAGGTGCAAATGCAGACAATTTCAACGAGAAAGAAAAGAGGAAGGCATCTAAAGAAAGTTGTGTGGCTGCATGAGGAGCATACAGTTTAACTGAGATTTAATGAGGTCATGTATAAGAAATGGAAGAAAGAGGAAATCACAAAGGAAGGGTATATACAAATAGCCAACGTCTGCAGCGAAGTCGAGTGGGCCAAAGTTCTAAATGAGCTCAGGCTTGCAACAGAGTTTAAAATAAAAGTTTATTTGGCTATGTTCAAAGTAAAAGGAAGAACAAACAAATGGAAGATCCTCTGCAAGGTGAAGGCAGAGAAATGCTATTGGGTGTGAGAGAGAAGGTGAAACTGCTCAACAACCTCTGTCTTCACCCAAAAGAAAAGTGCCCAACTTGGTGATATCAGAATAAATTATGCAAGGAGGGAGCTGTAGCCCACGATATAAACCCCAGTTGTGCAACATCTTGGGGAAGGCCCCAAGAAGCCAGACCGTGCACTGGTAGCACATATGTGTTTGCATTGCTCTGCTCACCACTGCTGTATTGTGTCATCTGTTTAAATGAGCAGCAAGCAGCTGTCAGGTGCAACAATGAGCACATGGTATCCTATGCTACTTTTTGTGTGCTGTGTGACCTTTTGTGCACCCCTCAATATAGCCTGAAACCTTCATATGAGGTGAAGGATGCTATCGCTTTGCCCGTGCTAAAGTAAGATTTAACTACCACTCCATCCTCCTTATCTATATAGAGGTGCAGGCATCTTGTCATTCACACAGGCGGCAAGATGTCTACATATTGGTTTGCTCTCTCTCTCTCTCTCTCTCTCTCTCTCTGTGTGTGTGTGTGTGAAGGCTTGCCTGCCAAAGTAAATTGGCAGGACACATAACATTGGTAAGTTAGTCCAATCAATAATGCAGTAAGTGATTTCTTCATCAGCCTATAACTTTTATACCAACTCCCTCCCCCTTCCATTAATGTTTCATCCAAAGTTGAATTGAAATGATGGCAATGGATCACTAGTTAGAGTCCAAGTTCAAAGAAGAGTTCTGTGTTTTTGGCATCCAAGGCTGCTGAAGAGTAAATATTTGATATTTAACAACATACTCTGGAAACTTGTACTGGGATGAGATAACAAAACAGGATTGTGATAGGGATCTCCCCTCTAACCTATGCACATCAGAAAAAAATCCCCATTATTCAGGCCATTATTCTGATTGTGCAATGTAGAAAACCAGGAATGGATGTAGGGGTGCAAATGCAAGCCCGTCACTCAACGACCCTGATTTTCCATAGTGTGTGGTCAATAATAATAATGTGTGTTTTTATTTCTACTTACCCCAAATTAGAATACAAAGCAAAACCATCTTTTCTTATCAGCTGAAAGAAGAATTCACTTGGAGTACGTAGTGGGACTTTGCCATGCATTGTGGACACTGTAGTTCTATATTTTTGCTTTGTGAGGAAATATAACAGTAAAGGAGTCACCATATCCATATAGGAGGCAGGATCTGGAAGGGGTGTAAAGGTCAGAAGAAAGCAATGCAGCCTGCTGAGTTACACAAAGCCAGGGATGAGGAATCTGTTGTTCTCCAGATGCTGATGGACAGGGCCTTAACTAGGGAGTGGGGAGGTGAGCCCCCTACAGGGGCACATGCAATGGGGTGGGGGTGGGGCTAAATCGGCTAAAAATATGTCCATAAATATAGATATTGATTATTGCCTCATAAGAAATAGAGGGTGAATTGAATGGGTGGAGGAGGGTGGGTTGGAGGAGAGGTGAAAAGAAGAGCTAATTTGTCCGTGGCTAGGGGGCGCAATCTGGATGGTTCTGCCAAGGGCGCAAGATCACCTAGCTACAGCTCTGCTGATGGACTACAACTCCTTTCATCCTGGGACATTTGCTATGCTAGCTAGGGATGATGGGAGTTGGAATCCAAAAATATAGAGAGAGCAACAATTCCCAATTCCTGCACAATGCTCAGATCTAAAGGGAGGGAACACAGCAGCTTCTTCCTGCTTCCAACAGTTGCAGATTTATCTGGCTCAGAGTTTCTGACTCATTCTGACCCTTTTGCCTTGCTCTGCACACACCATGATTAAAGCCCAGATGTGGGAGAGCAGGCACTCCAGGGATGAATAGTCAAGTAGAGAGAGCAAGTCCATGGGAAACAGAAGCTTCTGCTTGTCTGCTTGGTACCAATAGTTACAGAGTGCTCCCAAACTTCCAACACACCTCCTTCTTTCACATGCACACACACACACACACACACACACACACACACACACAAGCCCATATGTTATATTTTTAATTAACTGAATCACTGTACTGCAACAAGGGAAGATTTTATTTAAACACTTTATTAACTCTCAACAGCAAAACTATAGTGAGAGATGAAGATTATGCAAGAATCAAATCCTTGTTTCCTGTGAATCAGAAAGGTGATGCGTCACAAGTGAAGAAGAAACCAAGGATGCTTGAGCTTATTTGGGCTTTATTTCCAGTGTTCTTCCTTTCTTGAGAGAGAAGAAAATAACAGCAAATAATTATTTGCAGCAAGCAAATAAGAACAAGCAGAACATTTTAGAGAAAATGAGATACCTCTCATTTCACATCTGGTGGTCAGTTCACACAGTCCCATTATTTTGAAACAACAATAATTTTAATTTAAAGGCACCCAGCACACATACACTTGGTGTACTTTCTTGTAAGTTGGCAGACTAAATTCACTCTGGACAGACAACTACACTGGCAAATTCTATCCATTTATGTCAAAAGAAGTGATAGCTGGGTTTTGTTTGTTTTTGTTTGTTTTGTTTTTTTACTAATAATGAAGGGGAGAATTTGACATGCCCTTCTGGGAAAAAACCCTGCTTCTATTATTCTGAAATTTTCCAGGATTCGTGCCTTAAGAATGAAAGGTACTCCAAGGGCAGGGAGAGGATATAAAGCATAAAAAAGAGCAGTAAATTAGGAATAAGTATAGTTGGACAGGCAAACTGAACTAAGCAACCTACAAAGCAATTCAGTAGCAAGTAGTATGTTTTAAAAGCCCAAAATTGAAATTTTTTCAGCCCTACTGACAATCAGGTAGAAAATTTGAGAGGGAGATAAGACCAGAATGTACACTTGAAAATGTAAAGTGTGAACTATGTTTCTGTTTGTTTCTGTGTATTATACTTGGATTACCTCTGAGTGTATGTTTGTTGGCAAATGAGGGTTTGCCGCTGCATAATCAGAGGCCCTTTAAGTATTTGGTTTGGAGAAGCCTCCCTACAGCTGTAGATATAAAAAAGAAAGGGGGGTGGGAAAGGCATTGGTTCCTATTGTGTGTACAGTCGTACATTGGTTCTTGAACGGAATCTGCTCCGGAAGTCTGTTTGACTTCTGAAAACCAAGACACGGCTTCTGATTGGCTGCAGGAGATTCCTGCGCTCAATCGGAAGCTGCGGAAGTCACGTCGGATGTTTGGCTTCCAAAAAAAGTTTGCAAACCGGAACTCTCACTTCCGGGTTTGTGGCGTTTGGGAGCCAAAACCTTCGAGTCACAAGGCATTTGAAAACCAAGGTATGACTCTATATACATCCTCTCTTTGTTACCTCTCATTAGAGGCACTATTTTCTCAAGAGGGATCCCCCCCTTGATTGAGGGGACCTAGGAGCACATGATGTCACATATGCAACATTGTGCAACGTCCTGACATTGTGTGTGCAACATCGCGAGGAGCCAAGGGGCAGAGCAGAAAGCCCTCTGAACATTGAGGGGGCCTGGACACCTCAAAAAAAAAAAAAAAAAAAAAGGAAAAAGAAAGAAAGAAAACATGGGGGTGGCCTGAAACTGCCTTGGCCTCTAGGAGCTGGCACATATACCTCAACTGGGTGCAAGCTTCTGAAATAATTCAAAACTCTGAAAGTTTTATTTGTTGGAGGCGAATATGTGATAGATGCAATAGAACCTCCAGGGCATGATCCCCTTTGAGATATCTGAGATAATAAAATGGGTCCCCAGAATCTGAGACTCTCTGTATCCTAGAGGAGGAAGTGTTAATCATGAAGACATGTATTCTGAATGGTTCAAATATCCATTCTTTTGTCATAATGCCATGTTCTGGCTATAAATAGATACTCCAGACCTTGGGTATAGGTATAACATAAATAAGAACAGGGGTTAAGCAAGGTCCTTCATACGTAATACTTTCACTGCAAGAAGCAGCAGATAACATCATCCTACACTGTCAATGTTGAATCAGTTAAACCTTTTCACACAAGCCATGCTTGCACATCAGCTCACCTGAGATGGCTACTGCTCTCCAAAAACAGCTCTACTGCACTCAACCAGTTTTGGACCCTGGAAGAAATGACAAACACCCTTTGACATTCCTAGAGAAAGTGCTCCAAGTTGACCATAGATCTCTGCATTGAACAATTGTGTCAGTTTAATTCTAGTAGCCTATTGTGAATGATACAGGGGTTCATTCCGGCACCTTGAAGAAACTTAAAACCTCCACCCACAGCCTCCCACTAATTTTATAGCAAAAATGGTGATTGCAATTATATATTTCTAGAGCAGTGCATTCAAATACAACCTTGTTTTCTTCCTAAGCCCCTGTTGCTCCCACCTCATCCTCCAAATTTGGCCTTGCATTACTAAACACACCACCCCATCCTAACTACATTCCTATGTAGGTGGGCATATTTTTCACATGTGATACCAGTTTCTCTTTCTCTTCAAGAGAAAAATTCTGACTTGGTTCTGCCGGGGGGGGGGTAGAAGAGGGCAGGAACTGGTGTTTGAATAGTGCTGTGAAACCTTAGGAGAGTCATGTGGGGGTAGGGGTGGGGTTGGAATGCTGGAGGCAAGCAAACTTCAGGCAACAAAATATATTGGACTGAAACTGGTGAAATCTCCTTTTCCATCACATTCTCTAGAAAGCTTGAGCAGGATGCATTTTTTTTCTTATGACAGTATTTACACGGTATTGAGAAACTACTGCCTGGTTGCAAATACCCCCTTTGGCGGCAAGGTACTCAAGAGGGTAACGTCAAAGCAGCTGCAGGCATTGCCAGAGGAAATCTAGACCCATTTCAATTTGGGTTCAGACCCAGGTTTGAAACCGAATCTGCCTTGGTTGCCCTGACAAATGACCTATGTTGGTAGAGGAACCAGAAGAGCATGACACCATTGCTCTTACTAGACTTTTTCATAGGCTTTTGTTACCACTAACAATAGTATCCTCCTGGACCGGAGGTGTTGGGTTGCCCCCAAGACTTGGGTGGGGGTGGGGGTGGGGTGGGCAGGGCATCATATGTTGCATGTGTGTGACGTCACTCACAAGGCATGCAGTGTCACACATGTCTCTGGTTGCCGTGCAGGCCGGTGCAGCCTTCTGTTAGGCCATGCCGGTCCCTGCAGCATACTCTTCCTCCACCCATGGCCTCATTCTATTTTTTTAAAGCTACAAATAGCAATTGCAACACTATATTTCCAGAGCCCCACTTTCAAAACATGGAGCTTTTCTTCCTCATTTCTTTTGTCCCCACCACAACCCCGAGAGCTACTTGCCATTCTTGTCACTGAGGAGGAGTCCAGGCCTAGGTACTCATATCCCAATCAAGCACTTGGCCTCAGCCTTGTCAGGCTGTCAGTGAAGAAGAAGAAACTGTCCCAGACAATTGTCTTTCTAAGAAGTTTACCTCTGTCATAAAGCATTCCTCATGATTTTCAGCTTCGCAGCATTGTGTCACCATGGTAGTGAAATATCCAGTCACTTCTGCTATTTGCTCAGTGGTGCTATTGGGTTGGTGTTTTATTATGTGGACAAGCTGCCTGCAATGAGAACAGTGAGTGATAGGTTGGAAGCATAAGCTGCATGTGTCTCTCATCTTTGTGAAATCAAGTGCTGTTTCCTTCATGATTTCAGCAAGGTGGAGAGTTTCAGAACTGCAATATGTGTAGAGACTGGACAGGTCTTTAGGAACAGAGGTGAGGAAGGCTAAAAGTATTGGATTGCTTTGAAGTAGCAAACTAATTATTGGGCTGATTTCTTACTTTTGCTTCCTTAGTAGCAATTCATCTGGGGTAGCCGAGCATAGATCTTGGTGGGAGGTAAACAGTTCGGAAGAGAATGGTACAGGGACATAATCTGGATCTACTCCTAAACTGCTAAAGCAGTCCCGGCGGAACTCATAGGAATCTTCACAGCAGTTGTGCATTTGTTTGTTTAGTGGTTTAACTTCATGTCGCTGACATACTTCTCCTAGTAAAAGGTCTGTCTAGAGAAAGAGAGATAATATGTTGACCTTTGATGAACAGAAGAGTGATTAAAGCAACTTGCTTGCCACATAAATTAGCCACTATTTCAATACAATGAATGCAAGTGATGTAACTTTTGAAGACACTGTGCTTATGAGATGCTAAAAGGTTGAACAATCCCATACTGCCACATGCATTGAATTTATTTCAATTTTATAAAATCACAATACCAAGTGAATATAAATAATAGGAAGATAGACAATAATAGCCATGATCAAGATTAGCAATGAAATTGGGGAAGGCGGGGGGGGGGGAGTCTAATGGAGCTGCACTGGCAACTACAGAACAAATTCAATAATGAACAGACTTCACCACACAACACACACCTGAAGTTCTATATTTTCAACCAATCCAGGTATGCGTGTCAGCCTGTTCTGGATAAGGTAGCACGCTTACTGAAGGATCAGATACACAATGGTAAGCTAGTTGAGAGGCTGTTGAGGTCTTGAATGCTTTTTCACAGTTTTGGCTAGCACACAGTGGTGAACTACCAAGCTACCAAACTTTCCTCAGTAACTTAACATCCCCCATTGCCAGAGGTTGGACTGAGGAGGAATGGTTGGAGCCGCTGCCTCCTTCTCCTGAACCTTCCCAAGGGCAGGAGGACAGTATTGATTTGGAACAGTGGTTTGCAGAGGGGCATAGTCCAGAGGGGAAAAGTTGGGAAATATTGGGTGAGGAACGGCTAGAAGAGGAAACACCAGGAGAGAGACAGCTGGCAGATTCAGTGTCCTTGGACAGCATTCTTGACCCCCCCCCTTCACCTAAGACTAGACGGGCTTTGAGAGTGATAGAACAGAGAGCTCAGTGGCAACAAGCTCAGATTACCTGACACAGGAGTGACGTAGATTAATGGGGATGGAGGGGGTGAACCTTTACTGGGACCAATGCCATTTCTAAAGAGATATGCATTTCTTTGTCTCTTGCTGTGATTATTAAAGAAACTTACTGGTAAAAACGCCCTTTTCACTTGATCTGCTTATTTACTGCCACCGGGGGGAGGGATCTGATTCCCCGAAGCCTGACACCCATCCAGTTTTCTGTCTGCTGCAATATGGCACTTAGAAAATAAACTGTGGAGAGCACCAATGGGTATAAAGTGATTCTCACCCTCACTGTGGCACTCGGATGGGCAGAAAGGTTTCAAGCTCTTCAAAAAGCACATTGCCACAATGGGAATGGAATTGATCTCCTCCTACTCCTATTAAACATTTGATATGAATGCAAGGGCTGATTTCTACTTTCATCCATTCTCAGATGTGCAGGGAATATATTCTGCCCTCAACTGATCTTTACTGATCAGCAGATGAGCTGTGTGTGCCGTGTGTGTGTGTGTGTGTGTGTGTGTGTACTCTTTGTCCTGTATGTTTGTGTGGAAGAGGTGTGTGTGCAGGGTGGCCACACCTACTGCAGGCATGCAGACCCTGGAGGATTCCCAAGGGTGGGTGTGGTTCTCCAGCTAAGAAACATTCAACATATATGTAAGTGGGTCAGCTGTAGACATACCAGGAGAAGTCAAATCTAAGCCATTGTCAAACATCCCTGTCCTTTAGGTCACATTCAGGTTACATTATGGGAAATAAGTTTTAGAACATGTTCAGAACTGTCAAATTCCATGTTAAAAAAAACAACAATTTGAAATGGATTCCTTCCCCCATTCCTAATTATTCCACTATTCGTTATTGCATGTTTGTTTGCTTGTTTTTATCTGAGCCCAATTCAAAGGCATTACATTTAAAATAGTATTTAATAAACACTGCTGAACAAGAAAGAAATGTGGATGGAGGAAAGAGGCCAATATGGAGGATAAAATACTCACATTCTCATCAGCACACACCACTATGTGTGCATCATCCTCCTTACAGCATTTGGCAATAACACCTGCGAATTTCATTGTGTACTGGTACAATTCTTCAAATGCCATCTCAGGAGCTCTCTTCGTATAATGGACAAGGACTCTGCAAAGAACCATAAGTGAGAAGATTTTAGTCAATGAGAATTTGGGATGCAACCCTTGTCGGGGGGGGGGGTTGCAGTAATGCTCAAGGACTCAGAAAACTGCATTGTCTTCCACAAGTTGACAGGTTACTAGAACAAGTGAAGTCACTTTTAGGGCTGCACTGGTGGGAACACTGGAGCTTCAATTTAAAAGTTCTCCCCATCTCAACAAAGTCTTGTGTTCCTATGTAAACAAACAAATTAATCATTATCCTGGATTTGATACACAGCTGCTGGAAGTTCATATAACTTAGCTGATGTTGCATATGCAGACAAAGCACAGTTAACTGCTGTTTTTTCCCTTTTCTTCAAAATGGGGGTAGGAGGCAGCCATTGTTGTTTCTTTGTGCCAGCAGACTTTGTTTCAGACTCATTTCAGTTTCTGCATAGCATAGATTCTTCTAATTAGGTCTGCTTAAACTCCACACCATCCTCGTGTCAAGATACACCAGCTATAGACTTTGCGCCTCATACATCATGCCCATATTCTCCTTCCCACCCCACATCTTTTGGGTTAACATCCATCCACATGAATTGTTCTTGAGAACTCTAAAGCTATTCTTTATTGGCTCTAATAAAAGTATTCATCCTCTGCATTCTGTCTCTACAAAGAGGTTATCTAAAACTAAATTAGCCCAGCTAAATTGACCCCTATTCACAAGCTATAATATGAAAAGGATAGAGCATACTCATTTTGGAAGCCGTGGTCTCCTGCTTTCTCATACAAATTGCAGCGCATCTTAAATGTTTCCAGGGTATTGTCAGCGTGTTGTCTTAGCTCTCCTTCCTAAAGGAAAATATAACTGCTATTAAATATTTGTACGGTGATTCTCAACTTACGCTGGGGTTAGGTTCTGGGGAAAGTGCCTAAAACCAAAATCTCAAACAGTCAAAACACACTGAGTTCAATGGCAGGTGTGATTGTCAAAGTCTTTTTTTCCCCAGATGCCTGTCCTCTTTCCACCCGTGTGTGTGTGTGTGTGTGTGTGTGTGTGTGTGTGTGTGTAATTTGCCAAGCATGTGCACACAAGTTAAATGTGCGTATATTATGAGTTATTTAAGGTGACCACTTTTAATAGGGAATGGTAGCTTCAGCTGCATAAAAGCTTCAGTTCCAAAACAATAATAACAATAATAACAACCCTCCATATGTCAGTTCCAGTGAACAGAACTTGGATCTGTTTGTTCACTGGAATTAACACATGGATTTATTTATTTTCAAATGAAGCTATTAATTACATGGAGATGACACATAACTCACCCCTTGATGAAAGCACTCTTCAGGATGCTCAGTTTCACAGCACTTTCCCAACAAACCCTCATATTTACTGCCAACTCTCAAAAGCAGTTGCTTAGAAAACTCAGGGTTTCTCCTTCCAGTCTCATAAACAAACCTGGAACATAGGGAAGAACGCATGGTGATTATGATGTTGTGTTATCTACAACAATAATAGTAATACACGTAGAAAGTGTTGAAAGTACTTCGAATACATCAACTTAGCAATTCATTAGGCAAACGCTGTAAGTTGGGTATTTAAATTTTATTGCTGCTGTTTGTTTGTTTATCAATATAACTTCCATATTGCAGCCGCAGGAGAATTGCAAACTAAAACCAGGTTCAAGGGCTGCAAATTAAAATCAGGACTAGACTTTGAGCATCAATCTCCACAAAATTTATGAATTTTTGCAAAGTGATAAGGTAGCATGGTTTTTAGGTGCACTGTATGAGGGCAGGGGGGTGGCTGTTTCTCATAGACCCATGGGGCCACTGGTGCCATCTATAGAGGGCCACATTTTTTTTGCTGTGGGTCCCCGGCCTCCACTTCCAACTGCCGCTGCCTGCTGTCCACCACCGTGCACTGTCTGCCTCTGCCACCAACTGCCTTACCTCTGGCGCTCCAGTGCTGTGGCAGCAACTGGGACAGGCCTCTGTTGGGGTCCACTGCCCCCATACTGGGCAACCACAGTCTGGGGCCCAAGTTGGCACCATTGCATGGGGCAGCCATTATTTCCCCTGCAGAATTGCTCTGAAAATAATGCTAGATTATCACATGGTGTCACTTCCAGGGACATTCTTCTTGGCCTATTTGGATAGAGCACAGCAGGAACTGTGCACCTAGCTGTTCAAGGTAGTTTTTTTTTAATTTTTAAAGAACTTTACCCTCCCCTCAGAGGGGGAAAAATCATGGGAAGCAATCAGATTGGTTTTTAATTGTAGGTTACAAAGTATCCAGCACATGATAATGAAGTTACATTTCCTCTTTCCCTTCTGATACCACATGTGTTCTTCTTGCCCTCAGTATGCTTGGCAACCCAGTATGCTTTATAGAGTTAGGATTGAGACCAATCTGAATTCTCTATACCATACTTTTCTAGAAGTGTAGCCTTGTTCTCCGTGAAGTTTTGGCACACTTCCTTAACCACAAACTCCTTGAAAGTGGAAGGCAAATCGGCAGGTTTGTCATCATTTTCCGCATTTACGAGACATTCTTCTCGATCCAGCAGTTCCCTGTCACAGCAGTCCTTCACTTTAGTAGATATAGTGTCTTGATGGGTACAGATATACTCTATCAAATCTGCCTGTAAGAAAAGAGGCTCAGAAATAACTGCCGTATTTTTCGCTCCATAAGACGCACCTATTTTTTAGAGGGGGAATGCAAGAAAAGAAATATTTTTAAAGGCAGCACTGAGCAGAGCCTGTATGCATCCCAGGCTCTGCTCAGCACTCCCTTTCACGAGCCGCCTGGAGCGTGTGTGTGGCGCTTCCCAGGAGGGAAAAGTCCCCAAGAGCCGCACACACGCTCCTCGCGGTTCGTGAAAGGGAGTGCAGCTCTTGGGGGCTTTTGTGGGAGGTGGGGGAAGGGACTGAGGGGCTGCCCTCTGTCCCTTCCCCCACCCCCCACAAAAGCCCCCAAGAGCCGCACTCCCTTTAAAGAGTGCACGGCTTTTGGGGGCTTTTCTACGAGGTCGGAGAAGGACAGCCAGTCAGTTAGGGGCTGCCCTTCTCCCTCCTTGGTGAAAAGCCCGCAAGAGCCATGCAGAGCATGTGTGCAGCTCTTGGGGGCTTTTCCTGCCTGCCTCCCGCCTGCATTCGCTCCATAAGACACACACACATTTCCCCTTACTTTTTAGGAGGGAAAAAGTGTGTCTTTTGGAGCAAAAAAATACGGTAGTTATTTTAAGGCAGGAGCTTTCAAGTTGACAGACAAAGAGCAGCTTGATGTGCCTGATCACTGAAATGCTCGCGTTAGCAAAATAGGCCAGAGTCCACAGTTTTATTTATTTATTTTTTTAAAATGATATTTATTAAAGTTTCCAATAAAAAAAAGACACATCGGTAAAAAAGAATTAAAAGTAAAAAAGAAAAATACACAATACAAAGATACACGTTACACAATACACAATACAAAAAACAAAAAACAGAAAAAAGAAAACAGTTAAAAACAATGCCACCTTTTCGTCGCCACTTTTAAATTTACTTATTTTCTGGACCTCCTCATACCTCCCTCTTTTGTATTCCAGATCAATTTGTTTGTCCAGCAATTTCTTTCCCTCTTTTTTAATCCCAATCCTTAATCTTAATATAATATAACCTTAAATTTTAACCTATTAAAAGCCAATTTTCCATTTCTTTTAACTTTTTTAATCCTAATCCTTAATCTTGATCTATATGTATCTTTAAAGCCTGTACAGCTAGAAGCCACTTAATTTTAATCCATCATCACTCTAACATTCTTTAATTTTGCAATGTTTCTGCAGATAATCTTTAAATTTCTTCCAATCTTCTTCCACCGACTCCTCTCCCTGGTCACGGATTTATACACTCAAATGGAATCCGATTTGCCCCTGGTGCCACCTGACCCCAGCTGAGGTAGAAGAAGTAATAGTATTCTTTAGCCAATTAGAGCACTGTTAAGTGAAGTGAAGCAAGGAGTAGGTCAGCAGCTCCATCTTCTGTCAAACAACCAGTGTAGTATAGAAGAAAGCAAGGGAGAGCCCCACCAGGATCCTGTTTGAGACTCATGGTGTTTTCACCAGAGGACACTTTTGTATTCTGTGAGGCCTCCGTTCTTCACAGCTCAAAGTCATTTAACTAAGGCTATGCAAAGCCCCCAATTTGCTCCCTGGCCAGAATTCTTCCCATAAGGCTTTGGGCCAATCTGGAGATTATGACTAGACAATGCCAACATCCATGTTATTCTTGGTTTGAAGTAAGTTACATTAAAATTAACAAAACTTACAACATCAAGGACATACTCCAGAGTATCACCCTTGCAGAACTCTTCCTGGATGTGTACAATGTCACCAGCAAACTTGAGAATGATAGGAAAGTCTGCCTTTGGGAATTTCCGGCTCAGGTCAGCAACTTCCCTGGAAAGAAAGCAAACAAAATGTTGAGATTGTTTCAAGACAGATGCATATATATATATATATATATATATATATATATATATATATATATATATAAAATTATTCCCAGCAACACTGGCAGTTTATTCATATTGTGTCCTGTAGTCCACTATATACCTACAGTACCACACTTCTGAACAGTTGCATTCAAGGCTTCATGTTTCTTTCCTTCTATTTCATACAAGCAGATAAAAGCCGCAGAAATTAGCACCGGCTGCTTAATTCAGTGCCCTGATAATCACAGCTTTTTTCTGGAAAGAATTTTTTTTATCACTTATTGGTTAATGTGAGTAGACAATGCCAGGGCCCAAGAACTTTACTCCTGGTCATTTTCAGTGTCATACATGACACATTACACTTTTTTTTTTTTACCACTAGCAGAAAGCAGACCATACTATGGAAATTTTGAAACAGCTGCCTAATTCTCAATCCAGATCCTGGAATGCCATTGGGGATTGTTATCCTTTCACCAAAGTGTACACATGACCCTATTTATATCACTGGCTACATTTACGTTTGAATGGCTGAATCACAATCTAATAAACCAAATGTTGATGCAAACGTGATAAACAAATAAAGAGAAAACAAAACCTAAGAGGGTTTAAAACATGTGAATTGACTTTGCTGCCTGAAACATCAGAACTATAATTCTTTACATCCCCAGGCACCTTTCAGTAGCACACCACAATCCAAATTCCTGTGGTGAATGTTAAATATAGGAGTTTTGTTTTTTGTTTTGCTCTTTTCTGATCCAATATTTCTGTGGTTCTTTGTGGGGGAAGCAACATGCTTTCAGTGTGCCTTAAATGAATGGGGTGGATGTAACCAGATGCCTCTGCTCTCTTCTTATAGTACCTCATGGTTTTAATTGCAGAGGCTTACAGTACCTGGCAATATGTTTTGTGTGTGTTAAATAAAATGCATTTTGCTTTTTCCCAATGCTACAATTCTATGAGCATCTCACCACCCAGGTAGGCCTTCCAAGAAACTGCTGTGTAAAAGAGATGCTGAGCAGGGAGATATATCTAAATCAGCCTCATTTGGGAAATTGTTTCTGATACCTGAAAAAGTTTCATTTGTGCTCAAAGGTTCCTGTAATTCTCAAGAATACTTGATTATCCATGTACAGTGGTGCCTCGCAAGACGAAATTAATTCGTTCCGCGAGTTTTTTCGTCTAGCGAATTTTTCGTCTTCCGAAGCACGAAATCCCATAGGAATGCATTGAAATTCAATTAATGCGTTCCTATGGTCAAAAAAAGTCCAAACAAAGCCAAATTTGGTACAACAAGAGTTTATTAAGTGCTCTTTAAAGTCACACATACTGTAAAGAGCATTTCAAAAATTGAAGGAACAATAAATTCAAAAATTGAAGGAACAATAAAAATCATAAAAATTCAGAAAAAAACCACACAAGCTTCCAGATTCTTGCAAACCCCTCCTCAACTGTTCCCCCAGCCACCCACCACACAGAAATTCAAATCCAGAATTTTTTTAAAAAAACAGCAGAGTGGCCCAATGGTCACAGAAAATCATAAAAATGCAGGGAAAAAACCACACAAGCTTCCAGATTCTTGCAAACCCCTCCTCAACTGTTCCCCCAGCCACCCACCACACAGAAATTCAAACCCAGAATTTTTTTTTAAAAAAACAGCAGAGTGGCCCAATGGTCACAGAAAATCACAAAAATGCAGGAAAAAAACACGCAAGCTTCCACATTCTTGCAAACCCCTCCTCAACACCAAATCCTTGAATTCCAAACACCCCAACCCAAAATCCAAAAACCCCCAAAAAAGTTTTAAAAGTTTAACTTACCAAATGGCTGCAAAAGAAGTTTTGGAAAAGCTTCAAAAATCACCAAAGTCTTCAAAAACCTCAAAAAAGGCTACCACACCGCGTGCTATGAGTTGCTCCTCGAAGTCAAGTCGCAACTGCACCTCTTCAAGCAATGCACCCTGTATTACTGTAACGGTTTTAAGAAAAAGGAAACAAACTTGCAAGACGTTTTTGTCTTGCGAAGCAAGCCCATAGGGAAATTCGTCTTGCGAAGCAGTTCAAAAAATGCAAAACCCTTTCGTTTAGCGAGTTTTTTGTCTTGCGAGGCATTCGTCTTGCGGGGCACCACTGTAGCTAATGTCACACCACCATCCCCCCAAAAGAGAAAGCACCCAGACTCACTGAAACCTCAGGGATCTTTTCCCAAACTCTTTCAGGATGGAACAGGTGTGTTTCTGCAATCCGATGGCATAATTCTTTTGCTCTCTCACAGCCGGCAACTGTCAGAGAAAACAACATATACAAAGCAATGAAAATTAATTCATTGCAAGGAGCAACTTGGAGAAAAAGCAAAACAAAGGGTTTCTGATAGTGGCCTAACCAATACCGGGCAACCAAATCTACAGCTAATTGAACTGAATTCATTCTCCTTGATCTATATCTCCTGATGAATCCAAGCTTTCAGAATTCTGACTTCTGCTCTGATAAACATATCCAGTAAAGTCTCAGAAAGAATTGTGGGAGGAATTGCACTTCAGTGAGAAAGCACCTGCCTTATACTGTATTTCCAGGCTCATTGTTTGCCATTTCTAGATAAATAGAACAGAGGAAGGGAAAGACTCCTAATTGAAACCTGGAAAAGTAACTGTCAAAGTAGGTAGTATTTGGTTTGATCAGGAGTGGGTAAATGTTTTTAGGCAAGGGCCACCTTCCCTTCTGGGCAACTATTGGGTCCCTGTATGCCAATTGTGGGTGGGTCTAGAGGCCAATGTGGGTGGAACAATGAATGTGAGTTTTTCCTGTGTACAGTAGGCTACTTCCTCTCTCTCTGTGTGTGCGTGCGTGCGTGTGTGCTTTGTATTCTCCATCTTGGCAAGCAAGAGGCATTATCGGAATTCAAGGACACATTTCAGCCAGTGTGAAACAGGGCCAGTAGGGTGGTGGTGGTTGGGGAGTGTTTGTACCATGGGGAGAATCCTGAGGGCAAGACGGAGAAGCTTGGAGGGTCACAGTCACCTTCAGGGACTGAAGGTTCCCACCCTGGACCACTGCTCTGAGAAGATGTAAAACAGCTCCCTATCAATCTAGCAGAAATACCAGACCCACCAAGTGTCCCTATTTTCCAGGGACAGTCCTGGATTTACAGAAGCCATTCTGATTTCTGATCTGATCCCAGAATGTTCCACATCCCTATTTTCATCAAAGAAATGTTTGAGGGTTTGATAGGGCATCCCTATTTTCATCAGAGATGTTGGAGGGCATGGAGTTATACGACCCCTGAGCCAATGAGATGAGTAACGATACAACCTTTAGAAAACATCTGAAGGCCGCACTGTATAGTTTTATTCTGTTTTTATATGTGTTGGAAGCCACCCAGAGTAACTGGGGCACCCCAGTCAGATAAGCAGGGTATAAAAAATAAAAGTGTCATTATGATTATTATTAGTAGTAGTAGTATTGAATAGGATGTCTCTATTTTCATCGGAGAAATGTTAGAGGGTATGAAATACATTATGTAAGTGTCTTTAAATAAAATATTGAGGTGTTATGTGGGCTAAAAGGAAATACCTTTTCTCTGAAGCAGGCATCCTTGTCAGTTTCCAGACAGCAAGTTTGCAGTACCTTTTCAAACTCTTTAACTGTCTTATAGAGTACGGCAACATTTGCAAAAGGATGTCTTCTGGAAAGCTCATAGTAGTAACTGGGTCAAAAAGGAAACTTTCATTAATCTGTACTGCAATTACTCTAAGAAAAGGAAAAAAAGTTGAGGTGCCAAGATCTTTTATAATTAAAGCTGTTGTTAAGGAGAGGGAGGACAATTATTAAACCTATGTTACTGAAAAGAACGACAAGGCAAAAAGATTCCAGTTGCCACATAGGATACTCAGGCACTCAGTTAGGCCACTTAACCATTGGCCTCAAGGTAAGAAATTTGACAGCATACAGTATATATAGGTAGCATTACATGTCATTTCCTCTAATTGCAAACCCAAACACTGTGTCCAGATAGCTATGGTCTCAAAATGGGGCCAGTGAGAAGGAAGAGAGAGGCACCAACATGATTGGTAGGACCCCATGGCTTACACAGGTCCAAAAAGAAGGAACTCCGTCCCCACCCTCCACCTCCCCAAAAAAACCATGCAAGCAATGCCTTCCTACTCAAACACAGAAAACAGCCCAATGAGGACTGAGTATGCTCAGCAGTAACATAATGTTGGGTGTTGGAGGTGGGGGAAGAAATGAGTGGATCAACAAATCCTGGTAGAGGACATGGGGGGCTGGATTGAACCCTGAAGTATTTTATTGCAGCTCCAACCTAATTTTTAACATCTTGCATGAAATAGGTGAGAGTATTTGCAAGTGTCTGATTTGTAGGAGAAAGTCATATGTTACACATTATTTTCATTCTTCCCCCAAAGGAGAACCAGTTCAGCAAAATGACTACATCAACTCAATTGACTTACTTGGCCAGAAATTCAGCTCTTGTATCTTGGTATACTTTGCATACGTTCTCTCCATCTGGCATTACAAAAGGAGGAATGAATCCAGAAGTTTCATTTTTATGAGTTAGAAAGCAGTCATTTCGTTCGGGATCAACTTTGCCACAACACTCAGTAAATACATATTTCTCTGCAAGACCTTCTTCATGACAAATTTCATCCAGAAAAACAGTACGCTGAAGGAGAGATGCAAAATGTTTTCATTTATTAGACATACACTCGCCTGTTTACTTGTTGCAGTTATATCAAATATAACATGTTTTAGGGGACATCTGTATAGTTGTCTTAAATTGTAAGCCATTGTTAAGTGCATCTAGGCAGCTGTTTATATGATCAAGTTTACATTTTATAAGAGATTTAAAGAAGGACAATTTCCAGATAGTTTTATGGAAAAGTCAAGTTTAGTTTATAAACCACCATAATACAACATTTCATGCATAGTACCTAATACAACTTGTTTCACATGTTTGTTCACATATTACATTGAACCCGGGTACAAGTTCCTCTGCACATGTATAAGTGTGGGAAAGAGTGTGTAAATCAACTACTATGTTCATAGTTAGAAAAGGCAGTCATTGAAAATTACATGTGATAAACTGTACTAGCTCAACTATTTCTCTACACAGATACGCATGTTACACATGTGTGAACACCTCTGGGTAAAAGAGTGTACATTTGTTGATTTGTTCAGTTAGGGACCTGCATCCACACTGTGGTGTGTCCTGCAAATCAAGTTGTCATTAAAGGTGAGTCCTCTTTATCCCAGGCAGGAGAGAGAACCAATGGGGAATTAATTACTATTTCTCCACAGCTACAGCTACATAATAATAATAATAATAATAATAATAATAATAATTTATTATTTATACCCCGCCCATCTGGCTGGGCCTCCCCAGCCACTCTGGGCGGCTTCCATAGAAACCAAAAATACAGTAAAATATCACACGTTAAAAACTTCCCTGAACAGGGCTGCCTTAAGATGTCTTCTGAATGTCAGGTAGTTGTTTATCGCTTTGACATCTGCTGGAAGGGCGTTCCATGGGGGGGGGCACTACCGAGAAGGCCCTCTGCCTGGTTCCCTGTAGCTCTGCTTCTCGCAATGAGGGAACCGCCAGAAGGCCCTCAGCGCTGGACCTCAGCGTCCGGGCATAACGATGGGGGTGGAGACGCTCCTTCAGGTATACTGGACCGAGGCCGTTTAGGGCTTTAAAGGTCAGCACCAACACTTTGAATTGTGCTCGGAAACGTACTGGGAGCCAATGTAGGTCTTTCAAGACCGGTGTTATATGGTCTCGGCGGCCGCTCCCAGTCACCAGTCTAGCTGCCGCATTCTGGATTAGTTGTAGTTTCCGAGTCACCTTCAAAGGTAGCCCCACGTAGAGTGCATTGCAGTAGTCCAAGGCACTGCCCTGCATCAAAAATTTTGTAATTAAGTGTGGCAGGTTGTCAGGAGAGAGCTTAGCTCAGCAGTGGGCCATATTACCATCAATGTGCACATTTGCTACCAATATGCCTTGCCAAGTGCACATTGTTAAGAACAAGCACCTTATGACAACCGGGCATACTAGGCAGACTTTTGTCTGATCCAATATGCCTAGCTCTGTGCTTTTAAACCAGGTATGTCCCCTATTTATGACTGTTGCATACATCTCTACATAAACTAGTTTCTTTATAAGTGGAATGTTTTCTGTCTAAAGTTCCTGGTTTGGTCATTTAATTTCATAATCAATCAGAAGAGCATCCATGATGGTCCAGGGCTCCAGACTATGCAATTTACCAATATTTCAAATCATAACCTTCAAATTTAGGTCCCAAGGCTTACCAAAGGCTTTTCACAATCTGGGGTTGCTTGATCATCACTAGAACATTTCTTGGCGAGCTGTACAAGATTGTCATTCAGTTTAGCCACCTCATCGTATGAAGCTCTCTGCAGATTCTGAGACAACAAGCCGATGATGCTGGGAAAACACATTTATTTATTTATTTATAGATAGGAATATTTATTTACCGCTGTATCATAAAAATATATATCACAGCAGTTTACAATATAAAAATATAAAACCAGCCTCCAGTTCCGGTCTGCCTTAATGGAGGCAGCTCCCATGAAATTAGGAGATTGTTGGTGAAGGAAAAACAAGGATGATTGAGGATAATCTTCCCAGTTCCCCTCAGGGACAGGGGGGAATTGGCTTCACTCGCAGTTCATCTCAATACTTGGCTCTCGCTCCGGCATGGAATGTGGGAGGCAGGGAGGCACTGAGTGCAAAAGCACTTTGCCTGCTGATAACTATCCTACTCCACCATTAAGAAGCAGAGGCTTAATTTGAACTAAAGTACAGGAACGTGCTGGAAGACATGAGATCATAAAATTTGGAACAGAACCAGCTGCAAAGTCATTGAGGTTTGAACTTGAGAGAAGACTTCATTCAGTGCAAAAGACGGTGTGGGGGGAGGGGAGCCTACAATTTCTTGAAATAAAGTTGTTTCTCTACATTTATGATTCGGCAACCCTCTCTTGAATATTAGTTCAATTTATATATGTGCAAGTGAGGAGGGATGAAACTGGATTATAGATATGGACTATAACATTAAAGAGAACTGTGTGTGTGTAAAAAAAGGAAAAAGGGAGGGAAGCTCTATTTTGCAGAAGGGTTACGGTGGAAACTTAGAGCTGAGTCTTCACCATCCTTTATTATCTGTGGTGTGAACTGAACAATGCTAAAAGGACCTGGAATTTAATTTAATTGGAAGTATAAATGCTTATTTATCTTCAGTTGAACGAAAGGATGAAAGAAATCTGCGAGCTTGCCAAGGTTCATTACTGAGTCATCTGCAGTTTGACAGACTGCTCTTCTTCCCAGGCTGAGAGGGTGAAAATGGTGAAAACAGGTTATTTATTGGGCCAGAGTGATTTTTGCAGCTGTTGTTAAAGTTGCAAAACAACAAAGCACAGGATGGAGCAATGGAGAAATTTCTGAAACAACAATGGGATATTAGCTCTGCCCAAGGCATGATGGAGAACAGCAATATCCAGGAAAAGATAGACATATCGTTTTACAAGGTCAGGAAGAAACACCACGGACAAAATAATTGCCACACACAGGAAGAACAAGAATATAATTTGAGTGCCTCACTTGTAGTTCATTTAATGTGTCAACACGAATAGAAGTTATTAATATTGCAGTTCTTGTATAAGGGATTATTATTTCAACCGGAATGTAATTGAAATTAATAAGATTTTGGAACACAGAAATAAAGAAATAATCAAACCATCAAATCTAGCATGTGGGGGGCCACCTAAATTATATAATTCAGTATTTGAATGATTGGTATTAGTAATTGTAAAATAATTTGGTATTGTTATAATGAGGCAATGATTGGACTGTAATTGAAATATATATGTATACACACACACACACACACACACACACACACACAAAACCAAACAATAAAGTAAAAAAAGATAAAAACAAGTTAAAAACAAATGGGAATTAAAACAAACATGAACAGACCATTGTTGAGAATGTACTTTTAATCAGCGACGAACCGTATGCTAGTGCCATCTGGGTGGGCATGCAGGGGGTGGGGGTGGAGGGGAGGGGCATGGAGGGAGCCCGCTGTGACTGTGCCCAGGACCACAGCCCCTACAACCGCCCATGCTACGCCACCGTCTCCCCCAACAACACCCTCCTGATTTTACACAATTCCACATATACGTGTCGAGTCCGGGAATGTGACACCCATGTAAGTGGGGGGGGGATGTCTGTATTAATCCTTTAATAGCCTTTGTATTTATTACTCCTTTTTGTTTTTGCATGTGAAGACTGGAGGTCATATCAAGGAAAACCATCTGAAAAGACTTACATGCCTGGAAACTGACCCTCTGCTATTTTAATGAAATGTCTGAAGGTGTCATGGTGTCCTGTAAAGAATACAAAAATCAAATTTTCAATTGAGACATCTCACACCATTGGCAGTTTACCATACAGTGGTACCTCAGTTTTCGAGCATCTCGGAAGCCAAACGATTCAGAAGCCAAATGCTGAAAACCCAGAAGTAATTGTTTCAGTTTCCAAACGTACCTCGGAAGTCAAACGGCTTTTGAGGTGCGTTTCTCAATTTTTTCAATGGATTTTGCCGACTGCCCATTGATCCTTGGTTTTCAAACGTTTCGTAAGTCAAATGGTCTTCTGGAACAGATTACGTTTGAAAACCGAGGTTCCGCTGTATAAGGTCAATACCACACTATGGCATGGAAGAGGGTGGTCAGAGGGAGAAGGTATTTTATATTTGTTTTGAATCCCCATAATAGTGAATGGAGAAAAATGTGCTTCAGTTTTCAGAAAGCAGATCAGATCTGACTCCAGAGGCAAATTTCAGAAGAAGGTGGATGACTTCCTGGAGTGAAATATCCATATACAAACTTAATCATGAGGCTGCTGCATATCCTTATTATATATACAGAAGTGTTTCTTACGTAACAGTCCTATACATATGGATATCAATTCATATGATAACAGCCAACATATCCACAAAAGATTGCAAATATTCCAACGTGCCCCCAGAATGCTTCCTCTTTGCCATGTCCAAAGTTACTAACTCTTAGTTTGGAGAGGAACTGACTGGGAACTCTCTGCTGCTTTACAGACAGGGAGCTAAAAAGGATTATAAAGGTACCAGGTGGAGACACCCTTAAAGGCCTTTTAGCCTTAATGACTTTATTATGTATTATTAAACACCATATTTATTGTGCACTTTATAAAGAATCAATGATACTTTTAAACTGATAAATGTTAAAATCAAAAGGATATAATAAAAAAAATAAAAAAAAATGAGTTTTGCACAGGAAAACCTCACAATGGACTGAGCCCCTAGTCTTTGTTTAAAATAGTATAATGAAGCCAGCAATAATCTGACCATTCCAAATAGCTAGCTAGCTAGAAAGATAGATAGATATAAAACTATGCATATATTATACATAAGCACAAAATTAATAAGTTTAAAAAACAAACATATCACAAACCCCCCCAACATACCTACATCCCGGTACCTTCTGGGCAGCTGTTTAGACTCAGCCGAGCTTATCAAAAAAAGACAAGAAATTAATGTGACCCACTTCATAGTTTCAAATTATTGAGGGGCTGGGATGTGGAAAACAGCAAATGGGTAGATGAGCTTTTTATACTTTTGTGCATGCATGTTGGGTTACTGTCACATTCCCAATTAGAATCTCAGAAATACTCCTGCTAATAATTATCAGACTCCCAGGAGGTAATGCAAACTTTGTTTGTTACCCGATAACTCTTAGGTCAACTTTCCCCCCCATCAATATTCTGTCCAAAGGTGAATTGAATTGATGTGAGTGGGCCTGGTCAATTTAAAGAGCTTAAGTTCAATGGTATCGTGTGTGACATTTGTTCTCAAGGCTGTTGAAGAGTAAATATTTGCCCTTTCAGAACAGGGGCTGAAAATCCAGACTGGAATCTTATTCATTAATCTATGAAAGTCAGAAAAGAAATGTCTAGTGGAGCTAGAGATTTTCAGACCAGCTGTCTTCTGATGACAGAAATCCTACTATTTTTATTTTGCTCCCATCCCACACTGATGTTTCACTGTGTTTTATATTATGTTGGAAGTCACTCAGAGTGGCTGGGGCAACCCAGTTAAATGGGCGGGGCAGAATTTCATTAGAACTTTCTTTTTTCTGGCTCTCACTTTCCATCAAATTATTATTGCAATGTTGCATTGAAGGGTCTTGATTACATTAGAGGGGAAAATGAAAGCGCTTTGGGCTAATCACGTAATGAAGAAACAGTGAACCCTGTATTGTTATTTTAGACAACATCTGAATGTGTCTCAACAGACACTGCTTTAGATTGATATGCTTTCTTTCTTCCTTGTTGAGGAGGCCCTTCCTGGCCATGGGCAGGAATTTACTACAGAAATTTCTTTTATATTCAGCTAAAGTCAGCAATGATTCCCTGCAGCACTGAGCAAATATAATATAATCCAACTTCCTGTTTACATAGAAATGAACAAATCCACCAATTTCAGTTTCTCTCTCTGTCTTTCACCACTTGATTACATTCAGCTCCTAAGGTGTGAGAATCACATGTGGCACTCCTGCTAAATAGCTAGCTGGGCATCTGCTTCTTCACACCTCTGCTCTGAGGCACACCTCCAACTGCTGAGACAAGGAGTTGGAGCATCTGCACACCCTGCCTCCTCCAGCATATTTAAACCCCCTCTTCTATTGTGGTATGTGGAAGTAACCGGATACTCCCCCTGTGTACATTTCCACCTGCTCCTCTTGTTTTAAACCCCTCCTTATCCTTGGAGGCAGGGAGAGGAGCTGAGGAGATTCGAACAGCCCAAGTCAGTGTCTTCCACCTCTGTGTTTTCCTGTCTCTGCCTGCCTAGCCTCTTCCTCTTCTCCCTGCCTCACAAGTGGCACAGACACCCACAAATCACTGGTCCCTCCCCCTGGATAGTTCTCCTGTGCCTCTGCCTCCTCTACCCACCCTTTGGACTCTTACCTGTCCCTCCTTTCCAATGAGCGGCAGCTTGAAATTGTGCAAGCCTTTAAATGCTGGTTCTCAGTATCTGAGAAATGCATTTTCTAACATGGATCTTCTTCCTGCTGTCCATGGGGTGGCGATGGGGAGACTAGCATATGCTTTTGGCCTCCCTGTAGGGTCCCTCAGACTTTCAAATTCCTTGGCTAGTTTATATAGGGATAGGTGAAGCTGAAGAAGTAGCCTTTTCATTAACACAATATATCAATCTTTCCTGGTTGAACACTTTATTTAGCCACGTATTTTACAATTCATAAAGGAAGGATAGCAAAGATTGATAACAAAGTCGACAGCAATGAGTGGATTTAGTAAGAGGTGCAGGCGATGATCAAGTATAGAATTTGATGGAATGTGTCCTCAGTTTAAAAAAGGAGATTCCTTCTTGCCTTTCCTGGTTAAAAAAGATATTCCCTTTTCTGGTATGGTTTACCAATTCTACAGCAAAAATTGGACTTGGTGGGTAGTTTGTAGCTCCTTTGCCAGAATCTTTGCAACTTTGTGAATCCAGAAAAACCACTTTTCATGGGTCTATCTCTTTCAACTCACATGAGTCTAAAGACAACTACACCCACTCAAAGATGCACAGATCTTGCTGGTGAAAATCTGCTTTATTAGGCCAATATGGACCCACATCTGCAAAGGCATGCATATAATCAAGCTGAAAAATATAGTTCTGACTTACCATGGATCTGACACACTGCAGCAGAACAAACAGAAAACAGTGTGAGAAAGTAAGTACAAAATAAGCAAATTGACAAAAATGTTTCCACTCTTTAATATAGAGTACAGGAAAACAAATATAGAAATTGTTGTTAGTTAGGAAGTGTGTTCTTCAAAGGATTACATTTGGCATGCAAATAGTGATTTATGTATAATAAATGTTTAAAAATAATTTTTAGTTTTTTTGATGGAAATATAAAGGTAATCCATGTTTTGGCCATTAGAAATTGGGGAAGAATTGGTAGAAGAGATTTGCATTCAACTTCCAAAATGCTGTTTTCAATTCCTTATTCCTACTGCTATAGATTAATGGGTTCACAACTGGTGAAAACATGCAATAGAACATAGAAGCAACAAGATCCAAAAGCTCTGTGTCACTTGATGATAGTGACACAGAGCTTTGCTTCATATAAACAAATGAACTGCTAACAAAATATAAAGTTATTACAATAAGATGTGGCAAGCAAGTTGAGAAGGCTTTTTCTTTTCCCTGGGCAGAAGGAATTTTTAGAACTGCACTGAAGATTTTAACGTATGAATAAACTATTACAGCAAGGTAGATAAAGGCCAGAGAGTCACCAACACAAATAATCCAAATACGATGAGATATGAGTCAGAGCAAGCAATTTTGAATAACTATGGAATTTCACAGAAAAACTGACTGATGTCATTAAAACAGAACTCAGTTGTGAATGTACTGCCAGAATAGATAAGCCCAGTAATCCATGCACTGATTGCCATTTTGACACATGATTTTCTGTTCATCACAGAAGGTCTTGGAATGCCAGATTGGCTAGAAAGAAGTACATGGGTTTGTGAAGCTGAGGACTGAAAATTATGACTGTGATGTTGATGAGGTTTTCAGTGACAGCAATCAGATAAAGGATCAAGAATGTAATGAAATGAAATGTCTTCAGTTCCTGAGTATCAGAGAATCCATGCAGAAGGAATTCCACCACTCTAGATGACTGGTTGAACATTGTGTGGCTATGTAGTACCTGCAAAGAGATGGCACAACCATTTTAGAGAGGAGGAGGAGGAGGAGGAGGAGAATGTTTTGACGCATGTTCCCCAATGTGATCAAGTAGATTGACTTAGGTCACCAATAAACCATTGCTTGTTTAATAAATAATTTTTGTTTCTTCAGTTAACAAAATATATAGTCTGTTAAAAATGTAAAATCTCTAAGTGTTTGATATAGAATATTGTATTCCCTCCTGGAAAAACCCCCCAGATAACACAACAAAAATTAAAAACTAGTAGACGTAATAAAATTATTCCACGTGTGGGTTAACTTTTCAACAGAAATAATGTTTTAGGAAACATTTTAAACAGTCCAACGAGAGATTCTATTTGATGTTCAAAGGCAAGGAGTTATAAATATTGGTGCTACCCTGAATATTTCCTCCCTGATTAAGAACAAAGTTTACATGGCACTGGTACAACTACAAACTGCCACAGGTTGGAGCTATAGAGTATGAATGTGTGGGGCCAAGCAAGTCTTCAGATAAAATGACCCCAATCTATTTAGGGCTTTATATGTTAACAGTAACTCCTTAAACTTGGCAGCTGGTACACTTATTTGAGCAAAGGTGCAATGTGCCCACATAATATCACTGTTGTTAACAATGCTGCTGCAGCATACTGTCCTAACTGTAGTTTTTGTACCAGACACAAGGAAAACCTCGCATAGTATACATTAGAGTAATACAGTCTTGGAGTCACCATTGACTTCTCTCTCCCTGTTGACAGAAGTGGATGAAATTTGCAGGCATACTAGCCCCTCCAGAAAAATATATATCTCCCGAATTACAAGAAAATAAGTCAGGATCTTTTGTGATGGGCAGCTTTGTGTTAGTTTTTGTGTTGGATAGTTAGTTTGCTTGCTTGCTTGCTTTTAATGAAGTGTCTGTTTATTTTTAGGCAGAAGTGGATCTTATTCTGAGCAAGGTGACCCTGAAGCCACTATTTCTGCCAAATTTCAGAAGGATAGTATTTTTTTGAAAACGGTTAGAAAATAGCCTACATGAGAGAGGCGCTGCTTGGTAAGAAACCTTCCAGATTTCAGACAAATACCGTATTTTTCTCCCTATAGGGCGCACTTTTCCCCCTCCAAAAATGAAGGGGAACTGTGTGTGCGTCCTATGGGGTGAATGCAGGCTTTCGCTGAAGCCTGGAGAGCGAGAGGGGTCGGTGTGCACCAACCCCTCTCGCTCTCCAGGCTTCAGGAAGCTCTGCGCAACCCTTGGGAGACCGGCGCGACTTCACGCAGGTCTCCCAAGGGTTGTGCAGAGCTGCCTGCAGTCCCGGGCTTCGTGCAGCTCTCCGCAAGCCTGGGGAGACCGGCACGACTTCCTGCCAGGATTCCTAGGCTTGCGGATAGCAGGCTGTTCTGGGGGCTGGGTCGGGGGAAGCTCGGGCTTCCCCCGTGGCAGCCCGTGCCTGGGGGGGAAAATATTTTTTTTTCTTTATTCCCCCCCAAAAAACTAGGTGCATCCTATGAGGCGGTGCGCCCTATGGGCAAAAAATACGGTAGATCCAGGAAACGTTGTGCTAAGCACCTTTCAATTTGCTGGGGATGAGACATCTAAAAGGGAATTACAGTACTGGAGTATCATTGCCTCAACAACTGTGGCCAAGCTATCCCAGTGCAAGCAGCTATTATGATACCAGCCAAAACTGGAAAAAGGCATTTGAATCATCCCACAGCAACTATGAACAAGGAAGGGGTAGTGGCAGACTTTGGGGGCAATCCCTGTATGTCTTTTCCCATGTCAGGTTTCCAGTATGCATAAACAAAGAGGGACAGATTGACTCATTCTCTTCAATGCCCTAGGGGAATAAGGAAGTGCTGAAAATAATATTCTCTTTATTGAATGAAATGGTACCATTCTTGGTGACATGGTGACTTTTCTGCACATCTAAACTTTGCAGACTTTGGACTAGAGAATCCATAAATATGTTTCACTTGGAATAAAACTTGCTTTTTATTAATAAGGTCGCCAGCAGACTGAAAAGTATACCATGAGATTGACTTACCAAGCTGTTTACAGGTAGATCTTGGGTAATTTCATGCATGTTTACATGTTTCTTTTTTGTGCCTGATTGCGACTTGTGTTTTCTTTCTGGGTAGCCACTGTGATTCGCCTTTTCATCTGTGTATCATATCCTTTTCTCTCCATAGCTGTTTGAGAGGCTCTCTCTCTTACTTTTCTCTGTACTGGCGGAAGGAAAAAGGAGATGCTGCAAGGAATTTTATCCATATTTATTTCCATCACTCCCAGGAATCTAATCAAACTCAAAAGAAAAAACTCATGGGTATGTGGTATGTTTGTATGTGTTTTACTGTTTACATGTAAAAACATTCCATGGAGTACCAGATGATATAAATTCAAGCAATAATCACGATGTCACATGGGGTTTCCCTCTTTCTTGTTCCTTTGCCATTGACAGTCTTGGGTTTGCCACTGTATAATGTGAAAAAATGCCTTCGAGGTAACTGCTTTTCAGAATCCTCCCTACAACAAGAGTGTTTGTTATGTCCATAGAGACTATTAAAAGAGGAAATTTGGCTCCTATGAAATAAAAACACCTGTTTTTTCTTCCACTGACACCCCTCATCCAACAAATTTGGGAAGCCTTTGAAGTAATCCAAAATCCTGACAATCTTGTTCATAGTGAAGCAAATGTGTGATGGATGCAATAGACCAGGCATGGCCAAACTTGGCCCTCCAGATGATTTGGGACCACAACTCCCATCATCCCTAGCTAACAGGACCATGGTCAGGGATGAGGGGAATTGTAGTCCCAAAATATCTGGAGGGCCAAGTTTGGCCATGCCTGCATAGACCCTACAAGCCTTGGTTCCCTTTCAGAACTGGGAATTAATAACGTATCTTAGTATCTCAACATCTGAGTTCCCTCTATCTTGTTCCTTTTTTTTTACTACATGTCTTAAGATCCCAGGTGCCCTTCCCAGCATGTACATTCCTGCAGCATCCAGCCAATCCATTTTACATCCCAAATGTGGGGTGCACTTTTGACCATATGACTCTTCTATGCCCTTAGGCCCTTGTGTGAGTAATCTTCTGCCACACAGAATCTCAACTGCATGGGAAACTTTCATGGATATGCTGGGCTCATGGTCGCAGAAGTTTATTTTACTCATATGAGGGGCAGGGAGGTGTTGCATGGCCCTTGGATAGAGCTATAAAATCCTCACAGCCTGTCCCTACCCAGCCAAGAAAAGGAGTCATTTTGCAGAATATTCTCTTGCTAGGACCAAGATGGAGAAAATAAGAAAACCGAGTCAGAAAGCAGAGATTCTGGGTTGTTTTCCTTTCCCTTACTAAAGGGAGAAGATGGTTTTCTTGAATGCTTCCACACATATAAAATTACTATATGTTTAGAAAATGTTCAGACCAGGAAAAAATGGTTTTGCAGAGCCTTCATCCTCAAGTGCTAGCTGTTTCCATGGAGGGAGGGTTTTTTTTGTGTTACAAATCTTATTCCATACAATCTAGTCCTGCCCTTTCAAGCCTGACATGAGGCAATGAGTAGAACTGACCTACTGTCAGGTGCTGGTAGCACTTCAAAGAGTGTGGGGTGGAGGCAGGGACCAGGCCAGATACCCAGGAGAGGTGATTTGTGGGGTTTGACACCACCTGCAAGGCAGGAGCCAGGAGAGGACGGAGAGTCGAGGCAGCCTGAGATGGAGGAAAGTGTGCTAGATGTAGCAGAAGAAGAGGCTGTTGAGCCAACAGATGGGTCAGTAGACTCCCCACCTTCCCCCATTCTGCTGTCTCCTAGAACCAGGAAGGTCTTGAAGCAGCGACTTCCATGCAAGAGAAATCTCAGGTTGCAGGCACGTAACCCATCAGGACAGGGTATGTAGGCTGGCAGTGGAGGATGGAGTCTCCCTGTTGCTGCAACTATTCCACAGGGCCTGGACCTGTGGACATCTGCCTTGAGGCTAGAAATGTGTATGAGTGTGTATCTGGAGCACTGTGGAAGCTACTGTACACACTTTTCTTGTCAATAAAGACTTAACTATCAGAGGTGTGCCTTACTTGGCTAGGAAGGGCAAGAACACCTAAATCTTTTTCCATTCATCCACACATGGTGAACATCTCAGATGGGAGTCAGGCTGCAAACATGCTTAAGGAATCTGGGACAAGATAATGGTAAAGGAGCTGGCACATCCATGTTGTTGGGAGCTCTAGAATTGGTGGGTGAAGGTGAGAAGCAGGTAATGTGGCCTGCTGAATTGCTCTACACACACACCTGAAAAATGTCTTCTGGCAGCAATAGTTACAGAGTGCCCCCAAAGGTCCTACACCCACCCCACTCCCCCACACTAACAGAGTATCCATGCACAAAATCACAGCACATTTGTTTTAGCTCTGATTAAATGAATCACTGGACTGTAAAGGGGATGTTTATTTGTTTAAAGACTTTATTCATTCTCGACAGTGCGACTGTCATGAGAGATGAAGATTATGGAAGAATCACATCCTCATTTCCTTTGAATTAGAAGGGTGACATTTAACAAGGAAGCAAGCATTCGAGGGCGCTTGAGCATATTTGGACTTTATCTCCAGGATTCTTCCATTGCTGAGCTAGAAGAAAATAAGAACCAATAAATGATTTGCTGCAGTAAGCGAGAACAAGTCCCAAGGCTAACCTGCAGAACATTTTAGAAAATAAAAGCTACCTCACTCAATTCATACAGTCCCATTACTAGTTACATAAAGATCTTCCTGTAAGACTGAGTTGATTCGTCCCACTTAAGAACGTTCCACTCATAATGAGGGAAGATTAATTCCAGCAAGACTCAGATGTGAGTTTGGGGGGACCTTGTACCATTCCAAGTCTGAATATCAAGTTGAAAATGTGGGTGCTGGGACAGGGGGTTACTTGAATTCAGATTGTGCACTTGATAATGTAAACAGTTAACTGCATGTAGGAACAATGTGTGTTTGCTACCATGCATTTCACCTGAATGCTCTATATTGCCACTGACAGACTTGGGCTTGCCACTGAATAATGTGAAAAAATGCCATCGAGGTAACTGCTTTTCAGAATCATGCTTACAACAAGAGTGTTTGTTATGTCCATAGAGACTATTAAAAGAGAAAATTTGGCTCCTATGAAATAAAATCACCTGTCTTTTCTTCCACTGACACCCCTCATCCAACAAGTTTGGAAAGCTTTTGAAGTAATCCAAAATCCTGACAATCTTTTTCATAGTGAAGCAAATGTGTGATGGACGCAATAGACCCTACAAACTTTGATTCCTTTCAGAACTTTGAAATAATAAAATCTTTTAATATCTCAACATCTGCATTTCTCTGTATCTCCAAGGGAAGTGTATTATATGAATCTGGAAGGCATGCTTACTAAATGATTCAGATATACAGCCTTCTGTCATAGCATAATTATGCATTACACTGAATACATGTACCAGTTGTGTCTACACATGTACAAATGTTCATACGTTTGTGTGAAAGAGCATACACTTCTTTGTGTAGCTCAGTTATTGTCTATACAGGTGCACAGTCTATATACCTGTTGAATGATACAAGTGAATAACTATACTAGGGTTTGCCCCAGTTATTTGTGAACGCAGATATTGTATGCAGATTGTGTGCTCATATAATGTAACATGAACATCCATAATGTCATGTTTGGCTATGGATATGTATCAGGCATGTAGCTAAAGCAACAGAGAACTAAATGATTCTGGAAGGACACAGAACAATCCACTAACTTTCAATGCAATCATGGTCCCCCGTGCATAACTGCATAGCAGGTACCAGTTAGGTCTTTTCATCAGTACTAAATCACGGAGACACCTTGACACAAGCCTCTCTTCCACATCTGCTCACCTGAGATGTTTAGCTTTCTCCAAAAGCAGTTCGGGTCCTTTCAATCAGTTTGGGACCCTGGAAGAAAAACACACAATTCCCTCAGACATTGTTAAGGAAAGTATTCCTCATAGTTCTTTCACTGGATGAATAGTTAATCATGCTAGTTTAACAGCCTCTCATAAATTATATGGAGAGTCAATTCTTCACAAGCAAGGAACTTAGAACTCTGTCTCATCACCCACAGTCTCACTTTAATTGTTCAGCAAAAGCAGCAATTACAATTCCATATGTCCAGAGTACCACATTCAAACAAAGAAACATTTTTTTTTTGTTCTCTTGCTCACACCTTAACCTTGAGACCCAGTTCCTGGTTTCCTGGAAACTCATTGTTAGTTGTTTGTCTACTAGATTTGGACAAACTGAACTATATTGAAGTGATTCAGGAAAAACTGGGCCTTGGTTTAGCCAGGCCCCAAATGGCTGCAATTTGGACTGTCCAAAGCAAACTGGGGCTGTCAGAGGGTGTAGTATCGGGCAGGAAGAAGGAGAAAGTATGAAAAGGAGTGACCTAATAGGCAGTTATCTCTTTGTGGGAAAAGGTAGGAGTGGGTAGATGCCAGTCCTATTCTACCTCTCCTTCTTCCTGCCAGACTCTTCCTTTTTCCTGTCCCTCAAAGCAGCACCCCACAAGGTCAGATCCTCCCACTTACCAGCTGAGCATTAAGGGTTGCTACTCCTTCACAAGTGGCTTCCCTTTCATGCAGGGAGACCACACTTGAAGCAGCAACAAATCTTTTGCTGTACCTTCTCAAGCAGCCTCCTTGTGTGCAGGGAAGTCACTCAACAAGGTGCAGTACCCCACAGGATTAAATCCAATTGGAGGGGGAAAGAAGGAGATGCAACATCTCCTAGATTCTCCTGCCCCTTCCTTACTATGGGAACAGATCCAGGGTGGGATAAGTGGTTCACAGAGCAGCAGAGGGTGGTTGGCCCAATCTAGGGATTGTAGATTGGGACCACAGGATAGGTCAGAGGTGTCTATGAACAGCCCTGTTGTCTACTGCTATGGTAGCTCTCAATCTTCTCTGTAGCAAACCAGTTCAATAGTAACCTACCATTTTGTAGCCAATGGTTGGTGGTGGTGGTGGTGGTGAGTGTGTGTGTGTCTTGAACACAACAGTATACCATCAAATGCTTTCCATACACAAAAGCATCTGAAGCATCTGAGCTAGAATGTATTCCCCCATTCCCCATTTGAGTATTCTGGACTTGATACTTCTGCACTTGATTCTTTCTCTGCCTTGTATTCAGTGCAGTCCTAAGGACATCTGCTCACAGTAGTCCTCAGGATTATCTTGATTCCGAATTAGTATACTCAGGGCTTTCTCTAACTGGAACTCACTGGAACTCAGTTCTGGCACCTCTCAGGTGGGCACCATTGCCATTATAAAAGAACAAGGGAGGTGTTCAAGGTGAGTTCTGGCACCTCTTTTTCTGGAAAAATAACACTGAGTATCCTCAGCGAAAATTTAAGTCACATTTATTATCTCTCATCTAGTCTCCCATGCCTTCTGCTCATGGTGTTACTAGTTGCAATCCCACTAGTTGCATCCCATTAATGAAGACATCTGAGGTGTGTCTTCTCAGAGAGCTGCAGAAATGCCTGTTTGCCACACATCACTGACTAGGAGTTCAGGGCCACACATTCATATTCCACCACATGCCCATAGCCTTGTCACACTGCCAGTGAATGAAAAAAAAAATGCTATGGATACTTGTCTTCATTTTTAAAAATACCTCTGTTTCAAAGCATGTCTTATGGTCAGCAACTTCGCAGCACTGTGTCATCATGCCTTGGAAATCTACAATCACGCCTGCTAGTTGCTCATCAGTGATTGTGGGCTTGTGCTTTATCAAGTCGACAAGCTGCCTGCAACGACAACAAAAGTAAGTTGGAGGATGGAATCATTAGCCTCATGAAAAGTGATGAGAGAGTAAAAGCAGGCCAAGCATGTCCTTTCTTCAAAGCATCACTTCATAATTGGGTCATTATAATCACTTTAGGTCATCACTAGGGATATTATGTGGGACGTGGGTGATGCTGTGGTCTAAACCACAGAGCCTAGGGCTTGCCAATCAGAAGGTTGGTGGTTCGAATCCCTGCAATGGGGTGAGCTCCCGTTGCTCGGTCCCAGCTCCTGCCCACCTTGCAGTTCAAAAGCACATCAAAGTGCAAGTAGATAAATAGGTACTGCTCTGGTGAGAAGGTAAACGGTGTTCCGTGCACTGCTCTGGTTTCACCAGAAGCAGCTTAGTCATGCTGGCCACATAACCCAGAAGCTGTCTGCGGACAACCACTGGCTCCCTCGGCCTATAGAGTGAGATGAGCGCGCAACCCCAGAGTTGTCCGCGACTGGACCTAACGGTCAGGAGTACCTTTACCTTTAGGGATATTATAGGGTTGGAAATGATGTTACAAGGCAGGAGACAATGCTTCCCCTCTGAAATGGAAGGTAAAAGGTCCTAGGGAAGAGAGGGGCAGGAAAGGCAAAACCCCAGGAAATATTGAGGGAAGGGGGCTGGGAAGACAATAGGATAAATAAAGGAATGGGGGTTCAAATGGGAGAACTTTCTGAGAAGCCAAAGAGGGTGGCAGAGTGTAGGCAGCAAGGTGCATTTGGTCAGAAGTTAAAGTGGTGAAGAAGGCTAAAGTCCATAAACACTAACTGATTTGAAATAACCAGCCAAATATTGGGCTGCATGCTTCTGGTTTCTTACTTTTGCTTCTTGCGCTTCAGAACTTCTGGATCAGCTGTGCATAAATCTGGATGGAAGGTGAACAGGTCGGAAGCAAATGGTGTAGGCTCATATTCTGGATCCGGTCCTAAACCACTGAAACATTCCCGACGGAAAGTTAAGGAGTCACCACAGCATTTGCACACTTGTTTGTTGATGTGATGTATTTCATGCTCCCGACATATCTCTCCAAGCACAAAGGAGACCTGGAAGAGTTTCAGAAAACAGTAACCAAAGGGGTCAAAAGGCTGAACAACACCTCTTTGAAGAAAGACTGCATTTTGGTTTAGAAAAAATGCAAGCAAATTGAAGTATATATCATTTGGGGAGGGGCAGTGATAATACTAGCACTGTGGAGGGGGATGTGTGAAGAGTCCCTGTAGGGCAGTTATTTTCATCTGTATTCTAAAGCTGAGCTAGGCATTCAACCTCTCCAAAAAGTCCATTGTCATGATAGGGATAGAAATTGCCCCTCCCAGTCATTAGCTTAATAATCAGATATGCATTCTCATTGCAATGCAGTGCATGGCGAATGTGTCTAATTTTGTACTGTACACATGTGAATGCTCTGTGCGTGTATCTTGCAAGTTTGTGAAAGGTGTCGCCTTGGGCCATAGCCACCATTGACATGAAGTCCACACCCAGCATGAAATGTTTGACATTGTACTATGCTTTTATATGTTCTGTAAGCCACCCAGAATGGCTGGGGAAACCCAGCCAGATGGGCGGAGTATAAGTAATAAAATTATTACTATTATTATTATGTCACATGCAGATTAGATTTTTGCAACATGCAAAAAGGAAGGGATGTTATGGGGGGTAGAGGGTCTCATGGTTTGGAGCATGATACTCCAGCATTTGTTGCTCTTCTAGATGGCCCATCCCTAGGAAGCAAGTGATGAGGGGCAGGCAATGGGCACATCTCTGCTTCTATGGCCTCTGAGCAAACCTGTGCCCTTAGATGCAGTGTACGATGCTATCCTGTTACCAGCAACAGCCTGATGCCATTGTGACTGGTATCGTAAATGGAATAAGAGGGATGTCATTTCGTACTTCACCAGAGACGTTGCAATATCTTGGGCTGACCATGGCTGTTCTGTACTTCTCAGCCCGATTCCAACAGCTTGCCATTACATTTAAATCCCCAAACAGTTTGGGCACTTAATGGAATTCTGAGGTGGTGGGTGGGAAGGAAAGGGGGCAAGGACAGACAGAGAGGCAAATATGGAGAAGAAAACGCTCACATATTTCTCGGCACATGGCAGCTTGTGGGCTTCATCTTCGTGGCAGCATTTGGCAGCAGCTTTCGTGAGTCCCTTGGTGTATTCGTACAGTTGGTCAAATGTCAGCTGGGGTGCTTTCTTGGTGTAGCGGACGAGCAATCTGCAAAGAGATCTTAGTCAGAGGACATTTGGGATGCCATGCTCATCTGAGGTGGGCTTGCAACAGTGCTATTTTTCTAGAAAAGGAGGTGCTGGAACTCAGTGTGAATGCCTCCTTCGTTTTCTTAGAATGGCAATGGCGCCCACCTGAGAGGTGCTGGAACTGAGTTCCTGCAAGTCCCGGCTTAACCCCCCCCCCTTGCAGTAATGATGAAATTTCATTGCCTTTCTCAGGTTTGAGAAGACAAGCAAGGCTTCTTTTAAGGACTATGGTGGGACTATGGGGAAAAGGAGTTTCATTTCATGAGCTCTTCCCATCCCCACAAAGCCTTCTGTTTCTACCTAAGCAAACACACAGATAGTTTTTATCCTGATTTTTGTTACACAGCTAGTAGGACATCATATTACTTAGCTGACAGTGAATTCCTGAGAGATGCGCAACAGCTAGAATTTTTAATCTTCAACAGATGCGGGGGCAATCATTGAAGTTGTTTTGTCTCAGAAAGGTTTTTTGCATCCTGAGCTCACATGAATTGTTGAGCATCTTGCCCCCTTTCACAAGCTGGAAATCTTATGACAATAAAAAACATACTCATTTTGGAAGAGGTAGTCTCCTGCTGTCGCATGCAGTTCACAGTTTTTCTTCACCACTTCTAGGGTGTCAGAAATGTGTTTTTTGAGCTCTGCTTCCTGAAAGAAAGGAGAATTTCTGATATATGTATATTTTTAAGAGCAGAACTATAAGAAAAGATGCAGCTTTGAGAGGAAGTTTGAACAGGCTCTGTAACATGCCTTTTATGCAAAAGAAGACAAGAGCTTTATTGAAGGTAAACATAGATGAGGATTGACAATGGCATTTTTTAAAACATAAAAATGGCTAAACATGAAATTTCACAGCATCATTTCCTACAGTGTAAGAGGCAACACAGAATAATCCATTTGAGGGAGCTAAAGGATGGCAATAGCCTATTATGAGGCAACAAAGGAAAGTCATATTTATGGCAAAATATGTCTTTAAGTGCAAATTTTATCTTAACACTCACATTTCCAAACATCCCTTTTGTACATTTTTGGTACAGGACCAACAATTCAGAGAAATGTGAAATCCACAGGGTGATTACATTTAGTTCTATGCATTACTCTGAGTGGAGTGAATTATATCATTTTGCTTAAAAACATGCACCTTAGGAAATTTTCTTTCCGTGATCTGAACATAGGCAATGCCTGACACCAAAGGGTTGCTTTGCCATCCTAAAGTTCCCAGGTCCAATTCTTTGCATCCAAGGTAGTCCTAGGAGAGATCCCTGCTTTGTAAGAGCTAGTTCTACCTGTCCTACAAAATGTTCACAACCTGTCTTCTGCTTATCAGGAAACAAGCAAATATCCTTTGTATGGAGATGAATCATAACCCACCCCATGGCCAAGGCACTCCACAACATTCTCAAGAGCACAGCACTTCTCCAACAAATCACCGTAGCCTTTGCCAAGTCTCACAAGCAACTCTGGGGATAACTCAGGGTGTCTCCTTCCATATTCATGCACAAACCTGAAACACAGGAAATATCCCATTAACAGAGTATGAAGATGAGGATGACAATGTTAACACCAACAGAAATAAACGCTGAAAGGGAACACTTTTCAGCCCGAGGGCTACTTTCCCTTCTCAGCAACCTTTGGTGGGTGGGTGGGAGAAGAGGCACTGCCAGGGGTGTATAGGGCTAGAGTCAAAAGTAATTGCAGCAATACATTTGAACTGTACATTTGTACAGCATTATTTGAGTTAAAGGACATGTTCCATCCAGGCAAAAGTCCTCGAAGGAAGATGAGGCTAGTAAGAGGTGTGGCCTGTATAGTTTGTTTGTTTGTTTGTTTGTTTGTTTGTTGTTGTTGTTGTTATTCCCAGCCAGATTGCCCTAGCCAATCTGGTGCAGTATGGAAGCTTTGCAAGTCACATTTGGTCCCTGGTCTGAGGTTCCCAGTTTTGGCTTAGTGTTCAAATAACTTCAAATACCGTATATCTCAGCAATACTTCCAGCTTTCATGTACATTAGATATGAAACTCCCAATTAATATTCAGGTGTGTGTGTGAGAGAGGGGGAGAGAATGTTTCAGGCACTCCTGATCCAAATCAAGGACAGAGGTTTTTTTACACAACAGAGGAGATTTGGCAGAGTGATCACATTGTGTTGCTTCCAGGAATATTATATGGGGAAAAGACGGATGTCACTGTTGGGCGCTCTCTGCCCCTCTCCCCTATTGAATTTTGCCACATTAGCCTTGGAAAGATAAGTCATAATGATATCAAGAACAACTACAAAAACTACTACTGCTGTCAACAACAACAGCAAACACTATCTGAGCTCTCCTCCCTCCCAGAAAACTACTGTGATCATAAAGAAGTCCTAGTCTGTGCACCGCTCTCCCTGTGGAGTAAGCCATTTGAGTGGACAGAGTGGAGGAAGAATTTCTGTACTTGCTTCTGTAACAACTTAGCTTTCCTCTTCCCTGCCCCAGCCTGCTCCTTCTCTACTCTCTCATGCCTTCTCGCTCTTTTCTCCCTGCAACTTTGTTCCAGTCCTTGTTTGGGGAAATTTATTTGCTCAAATCCTTATATCCAACTGACTCTCTCCCCCCACCCCCAGTCACACTTCAACACCCTGTTTGCATGTTTAGCTGAAACTCAAAACTCCCTGTAGGGTTGAATGAAAGATTGTGTGGGATTTCTATGGCATACTTTGCCTGATGAAGAGTATGGTTGTCAGCATAGTGTTGGCACACTTCTTTGTTATCAATGAATTCTCTGACAGTGGGAGACAGATCTGCAGGCTTGTCATCATTTTCCGAATGGGCTATGCAATCTCCTTGTTCCAGCAGGCTCTTTTCACAGCAGTCGTGCACTTTAGAAGATAGAGTGGCTTGATGTGAACAGACGTACTTTGACACGTCAGCCTGTAAGAAAGGATCTGGTCAGTATTTATGGCAGTGATCTGGCAGACCCAGAGTAGCCGGGAAAGTTAGTATCTGTTGTCGTATCACTATTATTATGCAATATAACAATTATTATCCTGGATATTAACGCAAGTCACAAAACCATAACTGGAATAAACTTATTTCAACTGAAATAAATTTATCACTTTTACATTGGCCTGACTGGGACCAAGGCGCAATGGGCACAGGAATGAAACTTGTCATTGTTTCTGGTCAGTAAACACAGAGATTCAAATGCAGTTCATTTTCTTACAGCCGATTCTTTCACAGCAGAGTTTATAAAGACAAAGACTACTTTTCTATTCCCACAGGCTTTGGAGCACCGACTGATATATGTTCAGTTTTAACTTTATGAATGTTTAATTGTTGTTTTTAATTATTGATTCCCCCCCCCCCCCACGTGTTCTTTTCTGTTACTATTTTATCTGTAAGCTGCTGGGAGTCCCAGCCAGGGAAAAAGGCACAATAGAAATAAATATGATGATGATGATGAGGAGGATATGCATAAATGAGCACACATAAGCACAGAAAAGAATAGGTCCTACAAGCCTTATGTCTGCCTGACCCAGCTCTGTTCTAAATTCAGCAAATGCCGAACAACTGGCTTTTCTGAGCAAGAATGTATTGCTGAGTTGAAGTCAATTACATTGAAATTGACAAAACTTACCCTATCAAGCAAGCACTCCAGAGTATCGCCCTTGCAGCATTCTGTGTAGGCATGTACAATATCTGCAGAAAGCTTGAGAACTGTAGGGAAATCTGCCTTTGGAAACTTTTGACTGATCAGAGCAACTTTTCTGAAAAGAAAATAAACAAAATGTTGTGATTGTGCCAAGAGAGATGGATGACAGCTACAATTTAATTCTAGTATTATCAGTAGGATAAACATATTGTGCCCTTCAATCAAAAATGGTCTGTGTGTGTGTGTTTGTGTGTGTGTGTGTGTGTGTGTGTGTGTGTTAGAAATCCTGCCTATCTGGGCTGTGTGCTTGTGTGTGTTGCTTTCCATGGCTCCACACAAGAAGATAAAAGCTTCAAAATTTTGGGTACAAAATTTAGCATCCTGTGAACCCCCCATATTCTTCCTTCCTGCTAGATAAAGTGTCATGTCCCAGGAACTTTTCTGATGTTCACATTGCTCTTTCCTGATGCTATAATACTATGAACACCTCAAAAGGATGCTATCCGAGAAACAAGTGCATTTGGCACATGGTTTGCAGGGATATATTTTAGTCTCATTTTTTACTTTCTCGGGAACACTTAATCTATGTAGGTAATTCACTCTGCCCCACCTCACCCCCTTACTACCCCCAATGCAGCTAAACTTACAGAGCCTGCAGGGGCACTTCTCCAAGCTTCCTGTGGACAGAGCATATCTGCTTTTGTCGAGCAAACTCTTTTCTCAAATACTTTGAGACTTCTGTTGCCTGTAGCAATAACAACAACAACACTTTAACAACAATAACGATGATGGCAACAACAAAAATGGAATTCAGAAGGAAAATGTGCTTGACTCATTCTAAAAAAGTTAGGATAGGGTGGAAATCGTGTCCTCCCTTAAAGAGGGCATGTGTTGCGGTGAGACTTGAAAACTGAATCCCTGTGTTGTAGGTGGGTAAGATTGGTAAGCCACAACACCCGATTGGTAGGTCCCTCATAGCTGGGTTCAATCTGGCCAATGGGCGCAGTCCAAATGGATCGAGGGACCTTTATATACCCATGCACGTGACCCAGAGCTTCCTCTTTTGGTGCGTGCATTCGGAACACCTGCCCACCTCTCCCTACTTTTAGGGCTTTGTGCTTGACCTTGCTATGCCGTTGTGTGTTGTCTGTTGTTGGGACAGGGGCACGGTAGGAATTTCCCCCACTTGGCTGATTGGCTGTTGCCATTTGGGTTTCACCTGCCGCGTAGCAAATCATCACAACTTGTAAGGTTGCGGCGAGACCCTGGTTCAGGATAGGCCATCCCTATGTGAAGGGTATTCTGTTAAAGGAATCCAGAGACTCAAATGGTTTGGTCAACCCTTGAGAGGGGGTTGTGCCCGTGCCTGAGTCCAGGGGGACATTTGGGTGGCGGACATAGTTTGTTCCCGACTTTCTGCCTATCCAGGTTTTCACCCTTGGCTGACCTATGCTGGAATCCTGGGTCAGTGCTACCTGCTTGGCAGGGAGCTATTTGAACTGGAGCCTATGCAACCAGTCACTTTCTGTAATCAATAAAGTTGTGGCCTAAATTCTGCCAAAATCCAAACTAAAATTTGAGTCAAGCGTGAATTTATTTAGGGGGGAATTTCTGGGTCTGAACACGCAAATGTAAAGTATTTTTTTTAAAAAAAATAGTGCCACAACAATATCCATTGCAAAACTATTGGGCAAGTTAAAACACTTTTAAGTTTCATTGAATTCCATTGGAATCTATCTATCTATCATCTATCTGTATCTACCATCTATCTATCTATCTATCTATCTATCTATCATCTATCATCTATCATCTATCATCTATCTATCATCTATCTCTCTATCTCTCTATCTATCTATCTATCTATCTATCATCTATCATCATCTATCTACCTATCTATCATCTATCTATCTATCATCTATCTATCTATCTATCTATCTATCTATCATCTATCTATCATCTATTTCTCCTTCCCTTCTAGTGACATTAGTGGCAGCCAAATGACCAACTAACATAGCTGGATAGGAATGGTAATTGACAACTGCTTCTAGCATCAAATTGGTACATAGTATTCAATGTTGTATAAGCTTGTATTAGTATAACGACTAGAAGACTTAGTTTTGCCTGCAGTGAGTGTCCAAGCAGCAATTATGGCAAGAAAAGGGCAGGAAAGAGTGGGAGAGAGCATGGGGGAGAGTTTTGACTTGCATTGGACTGGCTTAGAGGTTGGGGCATTTATATTGAGGGAGGGTGTTCCAGTTAATCAGGGCCAATGCTTTTTTATTGCAAAAGGGATTTTTAATAAGTTTATTTAAAAATAAGTAAATTACAAGTTGCATCATGTTACTTAGTTTTCAAAAAAACCAGGAAGTGCCATAGGTTCTAACATTTTGCGTTCTGTTATTCCCCCCGTACAGGGGAATGCCAAAGTCTGAGGAAGAATTATGGCAGAGACTGTGCTTCGGGGATAAAACACTTGCTTTATATGCAGAAGGCCTCAGGTTCCAATCCTTGGCATTTAGAAAGAAAATGTTTAGATTGGTGCAGGGAAGGGAAAGAAAAAAAACCTACTGTGTGAATCCCAGAAGTAGACAAGATTTGGCTAGATTGACCAGTAGTCTAAGCAGGTAGGAAAAAAATATCCTAAGAACCTAGCAGAGGTAAATTCCTTAACCATCAGCTACATTATTTGGATGATAACGGAATACCTTTTCTGCAAAGCAGGCATCTTTGTCAGCTTCCTTGCAGCAAGTTGTCAGTACCTCCTTATATTTTCTAGCTCCTGCAAAGATGCTGGAGGTCTTTGAAAAAGGGTATCTTCTGGCAATTTCATAGACATACCTAGGATAAAAAGTTGCCTTTCAATAACACGAACTGCACTTTCTTGCATGAAAGAATGTGGTAGTCAGCACCTTTATAAATTAAGATGATGATATAAAGCAGAGGGAGGGCAATCATTTATCCAAGACTACTAAGAAGAAGGAAAGACAAATAAATTCAAATTCCCGCAATGGAGCCCCGGGCTGCAACTGTGCACGCAAGTGGGCTACTTAAATCCAAGAGATTTCATTGCAGGAGATTTGTCAGTTTGTAGCATTCCACATCACTTCCTCCAATAACAAACTCAAGCAATCCATTCAGATGCCTATGAAGCCCAAACAGAACCATTGAGAAGCATGGTCATGCCACCAAGATTTGCAGACAACCAAACAAAAAACAAAACAAAACAATGCCAGATATCCCACCACACACCAGCCTGGTAAGGACTGAGCATCCTCAGCTGCCACAGCATATCAAGTGTTAGTTTGAAAAGAAAAAGAGGAAATAGGTGAGAATGGAATGGCAAATCCTAGACGAGAGTGTGTCTGGTCAGCAAGCTAGAACCCTGGCCAGGAGAAGGTGGGGATAAATTACAGACTGGCTGGCTAAGACATTGATGAAGGAGCACAGCTGTTTGGAGGTGAGGTTATCTTTCATTTTTGACACCTTGCATGAAGTAGCAGTCAGAATTTGCAATTATCGGATAGATGATTTGAAATAGAAACTTGTACGTCTTATTTTTGTTTCATTCCTCTCACAAAGGGCAACCAAATCCTCAAAGTTACAGCACTGAATCAATCTGCTTACCTTCCCATGGTTTGATCTGGGTCTGCTTCAAATGCTTTGCAGCCCTCCTCTGCAGATGGTTTTTGAAAGGGAGGAATGAATCCTTGAGTTCCATTTTTATGGGCCAGAATACAGTCTTTTCTTTCTGGGTCAACTTTAGCACAACAGTCAGCAAATCCATATTTCGCAATAATTTCTTGCTCGTGACAAATTTCATCCAGAAAAACGGTACCCTGGTGGAGGGAAGCAAAGTGTTCTCTTAATTGGTTGCAATTGCAGTCGCCTGTTTGCTTAGTCCACATAAAGAAAACATCTTTTTTGCGCGGGGGGGGGGGGGCATATAAGCCTCTTAAATGTTAAACTGGCAGTTGTCCATAGAATTAAGTTTCTATATTCTACATGGTTTAAAGGACAGTCACCAGACAGATTTATTGAAAAGTTAAGTTGGTTTATAAACCGCTAGAATGCATGAGCCCTTATTTTCCTGTTTGATCACTGAGATCATCTGGAAGAGTTGCCCTCTAGTTTTCAAAAGCCTGATTAGCTTCAAGTAGAAGTTGGACATATAGGGTCATCGATCCCATGTTGTGGAAAACTATTCCAGCAGAAATTTAGCAGGCATCCTCACTACTAATCGTCAGACATTTCTTGAAGACATTTTTGTGTTGGTAGGTCTATTCTGCTGAAACTTTTTAAAGATGAACTAGTCATCTTTATAATTGTTCCACATTGTTGTTATTGTACTTTGTACATTTTGTACATGGAAACTTTGTTGTACACTGTCCTGATACGTGGTGGGGTCTATGAATATTTTTGATAACCTATAACTCAAAATGTTCCTGCCAGTGAACAGAGGCAGATATTTTGAGCCAGTAGACAGAACCTGAAAACATAGGCTGTCCCTCCTTGGGGTTTTTTAAGCAGACGTTAAATGGCCATCTGTCATCTCCAGCCTTCCTCCAAAGTCTGCTGCACTGCCCCTACCAAAGCAGCTGACAACATTAAAATGATAGAAACCATAAAATAAAAGCATAAAACGTTAAAAACAATCTGAAAGCAAAATACTGTAACATGTATCTTACCAGATCCCTGAATATCAGATAGTAGACCTGGATATGTTCCAACAAGAAATGTAACCTGCTATTAAAACTAATAAGTTCCCCATTTTAGAGTGCTACATCTCTGCATAGATCAGTTCCCAATATATTTGCATTTCTTTACAGTTTTATTTCTATGTTCTCTAAATTCAGCTCCCAAACACTTACCAAAGGCTTTGTACATTCTGGATCTGATTTTTCATCAGCAGCGCATTTCTTCTGAAGTTCTACAATATCATTCTTTACTTTTGACACCTCTTCATATGTCGCTTGTTGCAGGGCTTGAGAGGATATGACTAGGGCACTAGAAAATGCACACATGATTTATTTGAAAAAATGTTCCCTCTGTGTATAACAATATTCTACATGACTTCTAAGAGCAAGCACATTCTTTTGGGTGGTTAAAACCAAATGGGATAGTAAGGAGATTAAAAGAGATCTCTCACAACTGGGTAGACAGACATTAAAATGACATTTATACAATTCAATGTAAGCAAAGATTCCATTACAGTGGTACCTCGGGTTAAGTACTTAATTCGTTCCGGAGGTCCGTACTTAACCTGAAACTGTTCTTAACCTGAAGCACCACTTTAGCTAATGGGGCCTCCCGCTGCTGCTGCGCCACCGGAGCACAATTTCTGTTCTCATCCTGAAACAAAGTTATTAACCTGAAGCAATATTTCTGGGTTAGCAGAGTCTGTAACCTGAATCGTATGTAACCTGAAGCGTATGTAACCCGAGGTACCACTGTATATATATTGGGGCAAGAAATCCTAACTTCATAGCCATGTGGATAGGGTCTCAGTTTGTGTAACAGACCAGGAATGGGAATGCATCTGAGCTCTGGTTTTCAAAATATGCAATGAGAAATATTAGAGGGGAAATAGGGGCCTCATGAGACAGAGAAACTAAACAGTCTTTAGGAAGGAGGTGACCTTATTTATGTAATCAGCTAGTACAAATAGTTATTGATGGAGAATAAGTCAAGCCAGGATTATTGCACTATTTAATAAGTCCTCCCAGATTCATTATATGAGTTTGAGCAGATTAATTGACTAGTAGTGCATACAGTAGCATTTAAATAAAAATGATTGTGATTGCTTTCAGATAACTTTAAACAGTTATGCCATAGGAAGATATTGTTCTAGGCCTGTTGAGAGGAATTCCTTTGCTGAAGTGGTCATAATGGTGGGAAAGCTGCCATTTCAAATTCCCCTCAACACTACAGAATACACCACAGATTTTCTGAAATCTTAAAAAAAGAAGCTTCTCAGACGCAGCTGATTAATGCAGGTTTGCTTATGAAAGACACCAACAATTGTGGGCTCCACAGAGGTGGTAAGATCTTGGCAGTTTCCCAAAGGCGCCTACTGGTGACACCAAGCCTGTCCTTAGGGTCATCAGAGACAATGGGGAGTGACCTTTCTAAGACAGTTCTTACCCTCTGTGGGGTTGGTTTTTGTTATAGTAAGACCCTATTTGATAAATAATTATAATTCTTGAAAAAATAATTGAAGGGCAACCCAATTTATTTACCAAGTGATTTTAAATCAATTAATCTGATTCATCAACTTAATATTGGATTATAATGTTTACAATGTGTCTTGCTTCATTTGATAATAGCTTCATACAATTTTGTTATTGGCAGTCCAGAATATTAAGCTAGTGGTAGTTCATAGCCTCTGTATCTGCCCAAGTCATTTGGAAAGAAATTTCCTGAAAAGACTTACATCCCTCGAAACTCATCAGGCGTCACTTCGGTAGCTTGTGCTATGGTGTCCTGATGTCCTGTAAAGAAGACAATAATCAAAATTTCACTCAGTGCTTCTAGTAGTACAAGCCTTTGCACATATGTTCAGACCAAAACACTACTGAGTTGGGTAGGCTTTACTCGGTGGTAAATGGGTATAGAATTCCAGCCATATTAGTTAAAAAGAGAATGCAAGCACCCATCATGCCTCTGGGATGCATGAGTCTTGCCCAATATCAGCACTTCAGCATCAGAAATGAAGTAGCAGTGGACACCTCCGTGGAGGGAGGAGACATTGGCTGCTGGATCTTCCTTTCTCCATACCCTCAAGAGTGGGAAGTCTAGCTGATCCTATGGACCTTGGACAGCCTCCGATGGACCACAGGACTGCACTCATTGTGACTTTAATATGTATTAGTAATCCCTGTATTTATCGCGCACTTGACTTACTTTTCTATCGCTATTAAAAATGAGGTTCAACCCCCACATTAAAAAATCACAAAGGCAACATTAATCTTACCAACCAAATCAAACTGGTTTATGGCATTATATGACATAAAATGACATATTACCTGCATGCCGGTACCTTCTGGGTAGGTGTTTTGACGCGGCCAAGCTTGCCAAGAAAAGAAAAGAAATGAATGTTACCCACTTCATGGTTCCAAATTGTTTAGGGGCTTTGATGATGCGAAAGGTAGAAAGAGCAAAGGGGCAGAGGAGCTTTTATACTTTATCACATGCACGTTGGGTTAATGAGAACCCACCTCACGGTCGTATACTTGGTTAGGACACAATAAATATCCCTGCTAATAATTACATTAATAAAATATTTACACATTATATTTGTTAAGGGGGTATCTTGTCACACAAAGTCTGCCAAAGTTATTCCTCCACCCCAGAATCAGCACAAATAGACATTGGCCTTATCGTACTTCAAAGAATTTAAGCAAACTGCCCTCTGGGTTACCCTATAACTCATATACCAACCTTTCCCCTCTCAATATGTTGTCCAAAGGTGAATTGAATTGATACAAAGTGGGCCTGTGGCTCTTTGTCAAGTTAAAGAGTGCGTGTTCAGAGCTGTGGTCTCTGACGTTAATTTCCAAGGCTGCTGAAAGGTAAACATTTGATCTTTTGCAACAGAGTCTGAAAACTCAGACTAGAGTCTTATCCACCTATCCAGGGATATCTGGAAAACTTTTCCAAATTTGATAGTAAGTTGTATCAAATTAAGTTTTAAATAGAGCAGACCTAGGAAAATATATGAACCTACATTAGTCATGTGTATTAAAATAAAATTTTAAAATAGGGAGCAATCCTATACATGGGAAGCTGGCATAAAGTTATGTTAAGCCCGGGTAAAGCATTTCTGATTCAAACTCTATTCTGGAACAGGGCTTTGGCTGACTGAGCTGGCCTAAGCATGGCAGAGCCTTCAAATACTGTTTAGGTTGTTGTTGTTTAGTCGTTTAGTCGTGTCCGACTCTTCGTGACCCCATGGACCAGAGCATGCCAGGCACTCCTGTCTTCCACTGCCTCCCGCAGTTTAGTCAAACTCATGCTGGTAGCTTCGAGAACACTATCCAACCATCTTGTCCTCTGTCGTCCCCTTCTCCTTGAGCCCTCCATCTTTCCCAACATCAGGGTCTTTTCCAGGGAGTCTTCTCTTCTCATGAGGTGGCCAAAGTATTGGAGCCTCAGCTTCAGGATCTGTCCTTCCAGTGATCACTCAGGGCTGATTTCCTTAAGAATGGATGTGTTTGATCTTCTTGCCATCCATGGGACTCTCAAGAGTCTCCTCCAGCACCATAATTCAAAAGCATCAATTCTTCAGCGATCAGCCTTCTTTATGGTCCAGCTCTCACTTCCATACATCACTACTGGGAAAACCATAGCTTGCCTTTGTTGGCAAGGTGATGTCTCTGCTTTTTAACTGTTTAGGTTAGACCACCCTATTTGTTTTTTTTTTTAAATAATATTTATTAATTTTCCAACCGTTTAAACACAAAAAAACAAAAAAAAACACATAAAACTAACAAAACAAGACACAAACCATTTAAAACACAAAACAATTTCAATATCTTATCTTTCATTCCCTTATTTCCACGACCTCCTCACACCTCCCTTTTTGTATTCCACTTCTGTTAATTGTTTCAGCAATTCCTTTCCATCTTCCTCTGTTTTCTATCCTATAATTATCTTAACATATTCTAACCTTATTTTTCCCTTTAATACTCTATTAATCTATTTATACTTGATTCCTTATAACATTTCTACTAAAGCCATATAACTTCATTCCAACATTTTTCTAACATTCATTATTTTTAAAATATTTCTATAAATAGTCTTAAACTTTTTCCAATCTTCTTCCACCGACTCTTCTCCCTGGTCTCGGATTTCTGCCAGTCGTTTCCGCCAATTCCGTATAGTCCGTCAACTTCATCTGCCATTCTTCCCGAATAGATAAATCTTGTGTCTTCCAGTACTTCACAATGAGTATTCTTGCTGCTATTGTTGCATACGTGAAAAAAGTTCTATCCTTCTTTAACACCAATTGGCCGACAATGCCTAGGAGAAAGGCCTCTGGTTTCTTCAAAAGGGTATATTTAAATACCTTTTTCATTTCGTTATGAATCATTTCCCAAAGTGTCTTAATCCTTGGGCATGTCCACCAAAGGTGAACTCTAATCCTCAAATTCGTCTGTTTTTCTTTAAGTTCAGTCATAGCAAGCGTCAACTTATGTTCATCAAATTGCCTCTGTAGGGCTGGGGCTCTCTTTCTCTTTCTCTCCAGTTGTGTTGCTTTACATTCAGCAACAACAGCTTTTTCCCTGGCTTCCTCCGCAGTTTGCCGTATCAAAGTAGGTTCCTGTATCAATTTCTGGGTGGTTTCTGTATTGGTATTATTTATACTTTCTGTATTTAAGTTAATTTTAGTAATTGAAACATCCACTTTCGCATTTATCGTGTCCATTTTCCTGTTAAGCTGATCCAGTGAGTCATTTATCTTATATAATGCAGCCACTAAAGCCTCTTCTGTCGACATTCCTCTTGGTTTTAAATATACTGGTACAAAGGCAGCAACAGAAGGAGCAGGGGGGCCTGATGATGAACCTCTCCTGGATTGTTGCCAAGTCCTCCCAGACCTTAATGTTTTGTCAGCAGTTGACTGGTCTGTTTTTCCTCTTCCATTTACCATAACACTTAAAAGATTCAAGGTCAGTCCCAGAGTCTCAAGGTTTTTAACTTGCAGCTGGAAATTCCCCTAGCCCAGCTCTTGTAGAGCAACCGGTTTCAAAGGCTTCCACTAGGGGGAAACAGTTTCTATCTCCAGCTGAACTGTGAACCATATGGAGAATCATATGGAGAACCAACCATATGTAGATGTTGGTTTGTCAGGGTGCTCAGATAGGGTTGCCATACATCTAGAAAATCCTGGACATGTCCTCTTTTGGGAGGCCAACATATTCATCTGGGAGTGGGGGATTTTTACATTTTAAAGGAAATGCTCGGTGTGTTGTTTATTTATTTGGTGTTTTTTGGTTCAGGAGATATTGCCAGGAGATCACCCAGAACAGCAAGGGGGAGCAGAGATCATTCCATCTGGGAAGCTGCTTCTCTCTCACTTTAATAATGAGTTCTTTCAGTCAATTCCCCCTCCTAGATATTTTTATTTTCTAAAATGAGTGTCCCAAAAGCTGAACAGTATCCTCTGTGGCAGAGGTGTCCAGAGTCATAGCATTTTCTCAGAAAAAAATATATAAATAGCCACAAGAGGTAGTCAGAGAGTGCAGCCTGGAACATCTCATTTTGTTGCTTATCACATAGATAGACATTTTGTGTAGGAAATGAAAATATACCATAAAATCCATATACTGGGTTACTGATATGCTGAGAGAGGAGGAATCTTGTTTGAAGGTACAAAAGTCTCTCTCTCTCTCTCTCTCTCTCTCTCTGTGTGTGTGTGTGTATGTGTGAAAAAGAGAGAAGAGTAGAGAGAAGAGTAGAGAGAGTTCTAGAGGTATTACAAAATTATCACATTGGGATCTTGACCTCTCAGAACCTTTTGCAACTCTTCTGTTGATTTTACAGCAAAGAAAAGAGTGCCAGTGAGAACATTTATAGAACTGTTTACATAATACAGAATAGAATCACTCTTAAGGGAGTTCTGTCTCATTATGTGAGGCCCCATTGCATGTTGTTGAAGCACAGAAGTGCTTAAGTTTTATCTAGCATTTTGCAAAGAAAAGGATATCAGGTGATAGAACTATAAAAGTCCACTGGTTGTTATATTTGAGAGTCAGAAGGGACTAGATAGGTCAGTGGTTGGTGGTTGCTTTAAAATATGTGTTGTAATCATTATTGGTTTGCAAATAGCTACGATAAAAAATGGGTGAATCTGACCATTTCAGTTCTCACAGTTTCTCATTTTTCTTCACTCTTAAATTCTGTTCTCCACATCAATTTACACTTTTTACCAGAAATCCTGTAAAAAAAATATCAAAATATACAGATTTTAATATGCAATTTTGTCTCATGTTCATTTTCGGAAAGCAATTTCCCCATATGTAATGCATTTTGGTATGCCGTTTTCACTTATATAAGCATTTAAACACATATTTTACCCAAGAACATGCATTTTTGTGCACATTACTTGGCTGGTAAACTGCACTGCAAAATTCACTACAAATTTTGAAGGATGCATATGTTTCAGATTGTTTATTATTTTGGAATCTGTCAATCATGTAAATTTGCCTTTAAATGTAAACTTAATTCAATTCTCTCTCATTCCTCACTGCTGTATCTTATAATTGCTTTGCACAGGAACTAGATTCTTATAAGATCTCAAGACAGTTGCTATGCCTTATTTCTTTGTGCCTTGCAGTGCATTGCTCCCTCCTCCAGCTTAATATGGTAGTGAGCCAGCAATCCCAAGGCAGCATGCTATAATGGGGTCTCACTGACTTCTGGAAACAAAATATGGATGACATATTGTCAGAAAGTTCACTCCACATCTCCTCAAAGTGAAGGTAAAGTCTACTGGCATGGGGTGGGGAGACGATTATACTGCCAATAAGTTTGATTTGTGAAGTGTTCAGTTTGGTCATGATTACATTTGGAAAGAACAGCACTGCATGAATAGCATTTTGAACATTTTGAGCCACCACCGATCCAAGGTATCGTGGATTATATTTGTATATTTCCAAATTCAGTCCTTCCATAGTTGCCAGAAAAGGGTGACAACCTCTTGTTCACATGAATGGAGTGACATGATGATATCTCACCAGATATGTTAATTTATAACTATCTTATTCCTGCTTGTGGACTTCCTAGAGGCATTTGTTTGGTCACAGAGGGAAATGGGATGCTGGCCTAGATGGGCCACTGATCAGCTGAGATTTTCATATGTTCTTACATAAGTCTCATAAATTGCAATTTACTGCCTCTGTTCCTGGAATTAGACTAAACAATAGTGCTTTTCAATAAAATGTCTAAAAGCTACACTGGTTCCAGAAGTGGAGGTGCTGAGCTGGAACATCTTTACCATGATATGTATCTACTAAAATTTGGTATCTGTATCATAAAAAATGAAATGCCCTTTCTTTCATGAAATATTTGTATGTTGATGATGCACATCGTAGCTAAGCTTTAGAATTAATTGCAATGCATCTCTCCTATGATGCTAATGGAACTGGGTTAATTGTATGACCACAGGAATCACATAGGAAGATTATCTGGGCCATTCTTCTTCCTATTTTGCATTAGACATAAGCTCTAGAAAGACATGATCTCTAACAGCATGTGGCCAATGGCTGTTTAACTTTTCCATCTCTCCATCACATAACAGACTTTTATAATAATGAGAAACAGAATTTGTCATTCTCCACGTGCTAAGTATGCAGGGATGTTAATAAA